ACACACACACACACACACACACACACACACACACAGAGTGCAATAAAAGTTTAAAAAAAAAAAAAGAAATAGAAAAGTCAATTGGACAGAGAAATCTGCTGTAGTCCTGAAAGGTTCCCCCAAGGCGGAATGCCTCAGTTGTGAGCCAGTGTTTGGAAACTAAAGTAAGAATTTTTTTTTTAATTAAAAGTAAATTAATTTTGTTTTTCAAAGCAAGTTTTATTCTATAGTATGCATATAACAACTTAAAATAGGTCCAATTAAACATTGTTTTAGTTGGAATCTTTGTTTCTAGCACAAATAAGAACTTTGGTTTAGTGACTACAGCTCTTTATACTCCTGATTTAGAGTGTGGAGTGTGTTTCCAGATGAAGATGGCCCTGGAATGCTATGATTCCACATGAACTGGTGCTTTGTCGCCTAACTGACACCATGAACACTCACATAGACGGTGTCATTGTTCTCTTTGTTGATGAAGAAACACCATTAGAAAAACACAAACCGATAGACTGGAAAGGCCACATATCTGTGGATAGCACAGCAGGAAAGGGCCCTGAGCCCCAGGCAGCTGGTCCCCAAGGATACTAGAGTTCATTATTGGTCACTGTTCATAGGAGCTTGCCAGCTATAACTCCCCACAGTTTTAAGAACTGTAGTTAAACAATATTTAAAACCTGAATATTGTTTACAGTAGTTTAATGGTACAGTTTTCAATGCCATTCAGTTTTAACAGACAACTGCCATTGTCACTGTATATCAAGTTTCTGGTGGTATTCATGTGAGATGCATGCACTCTCTCATTCTCCTAGTTTTCTACCAAGGCAGGGAAATTTTGTGCATCAAAATAGGCAGACCCAAGATGGTCCCCAGACATCATTCATTCATGACACATAGTGCCTTAAAATGTTTCTATCTAGATTGGTTATTATTATTCTATCCCTTTGGTTACTCAGCCATGGTGACTGAGATGATTTGAGATAGAGAGTCATGACTTATCATGCCTGCCCAGACACACTTGAATTGTCAAAGGCATGTTATAAGTGGGCTGGGAGCTGGTTTCAACTCTGAGATGGATTCAGGAATTACAGTAGACATGTTGTTTTCTGCAGCAATTCCCTGGCTTCTCTTTGGTTATTGTGGAATGAACATTGGCTTGAGACTCTAGGTCACGGGCCATAGCAGAGAGACCTGGCAGAATCCCATTTCTGTGGAGAATGATGGTTGTGTAAAAGGAAGTAAATGGCTCTGAGGAACTGGGACTAGGCTCTATTCCGACACTGGCAGAAAAACAAGACAGCCTAGTAGAAAGAGCTGGCACCTTGGGGATGCATATCTACCTGAGGTGGGAAGGCCCTGGCTAAGGGCCCATAGTCTTTGGCCAGACCTGGCAGTCTGCTGCCACTTCCCTGCACCTGCTTTGTGCTCTCATATAGTACTTCTCTGGCCACTGAGCTAGACTTGTTGCTAAGAATGTGCTTTGGCAAGGGACATCGATGAATGAAGAGGAAAGGCCCAGGCCACAGCTGAGAAAAACAGTTCGCACCTCTCAGGCAGTCTACAAATGGGGCTTTGTCTTGTTCCTTGACCTTGCCTAAGGAAACTAGCCCACAGCCTTCAAGTTAAGTGAAATCAAGAGGTCCAGTCTGTGGCAGACACTGCCTCCACACTCCTATGAATCAGAATCAGCTGTCACGGGGCTGCTGGGAAACATGTAATCAGAAAAATATCATAAATTCCTTTCTGCTCTAAAATGCTAGAATGTAGCAATATTCCAACTTTTTTAGTGCGAATTAAAATGGTAGAGAAAATGTTCTTGGGTTGCAGTGACAGCTCAGTCAGTGAGGTATTCGTTCTGCAGGCATGGTGACCTGGCCCAGAATTCACATTTCAAAAGCTAGGTGTGATAGTGCATGATTTTAATCGTGTTGCCAGGAGGTGGACACAGAAGCATCTTTGAGGCTGACTGGCCGCTTAGCCTTCCCTACTTTGTGAATTTTAGGCTAGTGAGCGACTGTCTCAAAAAGAGAAAGAGAGAAAGAATGAATGAAAGAAAGATAGGTAGATAGATAGGTGATAGGTAGACAGATAAATGAAAAGATCGGAAGTTGACCTATTTGTTTTTGAGACAGTCTCTGCACAACCTGGCTATCCTGGAACTATGTAGACCATTCTGGCCTTGAACTCAGATCTGACAGCAATACTTCACATTCTCAAGCATTTCTGACTTCACTTTTGTACATTTTAATCAATTATTCAATCTTCTTGTCTAGTGATAGCCTGTAGCTCCTAAGGAATGCAAGTGTGGAAGCTGAGACTATCCTCTGGCCTACACACAAACACACATACACACACACACACACACACACACACACACACACACACTCACTCACCCTTACCCTCACCTTCACATGTATATACATACACACAGAAAAAAAATATCCTCTCAGGCTCCCAAACTACCCAACCCAGTCTTGCAGGGAACTACCAGGAGAGATGGAAGTTCTAGTTCACTCAATTACATTTATTTGTTAATCATAGTTCCAAAATTCACAATCCACCATTCACTGCAATGAGCTCATTAGCTAACTTGATATTTTTCTGTGATTTATTTCAACTTCATAAAGCCACATTTTTTCCCCTCTTGCTAAATGTACTTTCTAAATAAAGCAGTTACCTGCGCATCAATGAGATGTCAAAACTGACAGGAAAATAATGCATTTTTTCAAATTCCCCCAATTTCTCCAGAGACTAGGGAGACCAGGAACGTGAGAAATCTCTGTGTTCATGTATATGTCCAACCATAAGCAAGCTTGCTTATAAATCCTTCCATCTAGGAAACTGCAATTGAGCCAATGTGAGGCAAACTGCAGTTTTACAGGCGCCTGAGGCTGATTCTAATGAGCAGTGCAGTGTGAGGACTGCTGAGCTGTGGACAAGATGCACAGAATGCAGGGCTCCCCAGCCCCCTCAGCCATTCATCCCCACTGCTGAGAGGCCTGGCTGCTGACTCACATTAACAACCTTCTCCAGATTTCACCCTGCATAGGCCAAAGGAGCCTGCCTCATTAGTTCCCACTCCCTGGGACCAGTGTGCACGTAATGACTGGCGAAGGAGAAAGAGCCAGAGAAGTCTACCCCCAGCTACCTCCACACGAGGAATCCCCATGTGGCAAATGCACCTTTCTTCCTAACCATCTATGGATCCTATTTACATGCTATCAGGAAACACTTGGTCCTTCAAAATCCCAAAGCCTAGGGGCTCAACACTATCATTGTCTATTGCTGAAAAGCAGCCTAGACAAATGTGGTGGTATATACTGTCAATTTGACAAGGTCTAGAATCACTGAAGACACAGATTTCTGGGCATGTCTGGAAGAGAGTTACTAGATTAGGTCAAGTGACATGGACATGGCCACTCTGAATGAAGGCAGCACCATCCCATGGACTGGGGCCTCAGACTGAGTTAAAACAAGGACAGTGAGCTGAGTGTCACTGTTCATCCCTGCTTCCTGACTACAGATGGAAGGTAAGCATCACCTTGCATCCTGCCATGCCTTCCCCCACTGTGGTGGACTGTATCCTTAAACTGTGAGACAAAGCAAAGCCTTTCTGCCTCAAATGGCCTTTGTAGGTGTTTTGTCACAGCAACACGAAAAGTAAATAACAGAACAAGGCCTATGATTTTTTTTTAGAATATCCACAACTACAAGACCCACTTTCACAATTGTGAAGGTTCAATAAGATGATGTGAGTAAAAACTACAAAACAGATAAAATATTGGTAGTTACCACTAAAGATGTCATTCATTCTAAAATCTCTATACGATATATTTAAAAAGATGGAGAATTGGTTCTATCTCTAGATGTGTATAAATGTGACATTAACTGCATACATTCAAAGACTTTAAATAGTGAGATGTAATAGTTCTGTTGACTTTGCTACTTTTGCATAGAACTCAAATTAGCCACAAAAAGAAAAAAAAAAAAAAAAGAAAAAAAAAGAAAGAAAATTAGTCCCAGAGGCCAAACAACTTAGTAAGGGGAGGAAAGTCCCTTCTGACCATACTGGGTGCATTCAGGGTGCTGTGGCCATAGTCTGTTCAACCAGCAGCTGGGACATGAGTCTACATCCATAAACACAGCGAAGGTGGACTGCTAACTCACACAAAATACAAAAATAGCTCAACGTGAGTCAAAGATAGGAATATTAACAGATAAAACAAACAAACAAAAAAGTATTGGGACAGCAAGATAGCTCAGTGGGCACATGTGCACCCACACACACACACACACACCAAATCAAAAAGATAACATTTTTTAAATGAAAAAAAATTCTTAGAAGAAAATATCTGTAAAGGCTGCCAGAGAAGGAAGTGCTCGCTGCTGGTCCTGGTCACATGAGCTTCATCCCTGGGACCCACATGGAGGCAGGAGGAGAGAACTGACTCAAAAGCTCTACACAGGGGCCATGGCATGTGCTGTGTGTGGGTGTACCATGTGTGCACACATATGTAATAGTAATAACATTATTAAAATAAACATAACAAAAGCGGTCAACGACACCTACTTTGTGAATATGCTAAGCCGTTGCACTGTTCAGTTGATTGGGGAACTGTACAGTATATGGATATGATTAGAATAAGACCGTTGAGAAATAATTCCATGAGCTAACAAAGTATGACATTTTGGAAACGAGAATTTAAATATAACTCTGTGGCAACGTTTTCTGTCTGTTTGGTTTGTTTGTGTGAGCATAGTTCACTATCTTCCATGAGATAAATCAGAACACAAACCCCATATGTGGGAAAAAAGGCAAGCCAGGAAGCTGATTACATACTGGAAAAATCCAGATTCCCACCAAGATAACTGAATATTTCTCAGCAACTGACTCACAAGACAACAGAGTCCGTTTTCCACATAAGCTTGTGGAGCCGCCACCACAGTGAAGCAAGAGCAGCTACAGTGCTTCGGTTCAAACTTTAGTTCAAAGCAAACCTTACCTGTGGGCTTTTAGGATTCTCTGGGCAATAGCATCGCCCACCTTGTTGAACACAACTTTATCATCAGCGCAGCTTATGAAAAACTGATTCTGTGAGAAAAAATAATACACTGTGTAAAAGGCCTTGTTTTCTCTGGAAGATGGAGAATAAGGGGACAGACACTATATTGATATAAAAATGGTTCACACATGGGTATGTTGAGGCCACTGAATCTCACAGGAAAAGTTAACAGCTCAGAGTATGGGAAGTGCAATCTGACCCCAGGTCGCATGAGCATTAGGTCATTCTGTGCTTATAACAGCTTCCTTAAGTGGAAGGCTATGTGGCTTTCCTAACTCACATGTCGAAATTATTTTCTAAGAATGCTATGGACATTTCCAAGTTAGGTTTCCTTTTGATTCCTACAGCATGCATATGCTTGGAATTGAAAGTTCTGCACTGGCAGCGTCCTGTCTTGGGCTGGAGGCCAGCTCGTTTAGCACAGGGTCTCTCCAGCATTCCCTAGCACCTACTTTCACCTTGCTGTCTGGCTTTGGAGCTCTCCTGTGTTCTGTACTTATATTTTAAGAAGTTTCTAATATCTTTCAAATAATTTTTTTCTTTTTGATGTGCATGGTCATGTTTGTGGACACATATGTTTGTGCTGATCTGAGTGCCATATGTGCATGGTCATGTGTGTGGGCACATGTTTGTATTGGTCAGAGTGTCCATTTATGCATGGTTTTGTGTGTGTGTGTGTGTGTGTGTGTGTGTGTGTGTGTGTGTGTGTTTGTGTGTGTGTGTGTGTGTGTGTGTGTGTGAAACAACTCTTACTATACAAAGAAGGTCATCATACCTCATCAGCTACAAGAACAGACTGCCACATGCCATGGCTCTCTCTCTCTCTCTCTCTCTCTCTCTCTCTCTCTCTCAGACTAAGGAAAATGCTTACTGTTTGCCATGATGGTTATCACCCAGATAAATGTCTACAACCATGAATACCCACATGGCACGGCTGACCTCATTCGATGCCATGCTGGCAAGAGAAACAAAAGTTGATAGTACTAGTCATGATGGTCAACTTGATGGAATTTACAATGACCATAGAAAAGAGCCCATGGGCATGTTGGTGAGAGGCTTTATACAGATTAGGTTAACTAAGGAGGTAGGACCCACCCTAAATGTGAACAGCACTGGTCCACAAACTGGGACCACAGATTTATTAAAAAGGAGAAGAACCCATATCTATCCCCCTGCTTCCTGGCTGTGTGTGATGTGACCAGACACCTCCTGCTCCTGCTGCCATACTTCCCTGCCATGACAGACTATATTCTTCAGAACTGGGAGCCAAAACAGAACCCTTTCTGCCTTAATGGCTTTTGTCAGCTATCTTACCACAGCATCAAAAAAAGTAACTAAGATACTGGTGTTAATGCTATTTTAAAAATGAAACAAAATGGCTGGATGCTGGGTGAGGCAACTGTTACATCTTTTGCAATGACAGCATCATCCTCACATTTAATGATAAGAAACATCTTACTAAACTCCAGAGTGGACTTTCCTGATTTCTACTAACATGCTTTATCTACTGCATGATCTCATGTGGGATACACACACATTTAGGCTGCTAATATTTTTCATCAGCTTTCTCTTTCCCCAGGTCTGGGGAATAAGTACAGCTACAGTTGTTTGCTAATGCTTTGTAATCAGCTGTCTCTCTGTGGAAGGGAAGAGTAAAGGACTCTAGAAGAGGAAAAATGGGGCTGAAATGGTTTTTCAGAAAATCCATTTCTGGCTACACATTCTATTTTTGTTCAATGGAAAAATAAAACCAGGGTAGAGGAGGGAGATATGTATTGGTTTGGGTGTCCCCCCACTATGGAGATTATTTTTCTCAGGGGTTCCAAAGAGTCTGTACTACTTCTGTATCTACTTTGAAGTTCAGTTAAAGTTCCCACACTAAACTTGATGCTCTCAGATTTTCTCAGGGGCTTTGAACACAACCTGTGTTCTGAAAAGACTTTATCATAAACAGTGGCTCTCAGCTTTAATATCCTCATATCACCCATTCCCATATTCCCTTCCTTGTCTTTTCCTACTCCAGGGTTCCCCACAGCAGGGGTATCCTGTAGGTCCTCTGTGTGAGCAACTTACCCTGTGTGTGTGAATGTATATGTGTGTGTATGAGCATGTGTGCATGTGTGTGCTCTACTGAAATAGTGCACACTTCATGATTTTATGCTAGACCTTCTAACCATACCCCAGTGAAAACCTCCACATCATGTTGGTGTTGTTTTAGCAAAACGTGTATTCATAAGCTGATACATGCCAGTACCACAAGGTTCCATGAATCTTGAGTTAAAGATGGTGCAGAGTGAATTCAGGGAAGCACAAATGACCACAATCAGTATTTCCCTGAAACCCTTTGTAACTCAGTCCATGCTTATTAATTCTGAATCCTGAACTGGGGTCCCTACAGTTTTGTATGATGCTTGGTGTCCTGGTTAGTTGGGTTTTTTGTTTTGTTTTGTTCGTTTGTTTTTGTCAACTCAACACAAACTAAAGTTATCCAGGAAGAAGAACATAAATTGAGAAAATGCCTCCATCAGACTGCTCATAGGCAGGTAATTCTGGGAAGCATTTTCCTATTTGATGTTTGATATGGCAGCGTCTAGTCCTTCCATGGGCATTGCCAAATTACCAACCCTGGGCAGGTAGTCCAGGGCGATACAAGAAAGCAGGGTGAGCCAGTAAGCCATGCTCCTCCATGGTCTCTGCTTCAGTTCCTGCCTCCAAGTTCCTGCCCTGACTTCCCTCACTGATGAACTATGACATGGAAATGCAAGCCAAATAAACTCTTTTCCTTCCCCCAGATTGCTTTGGGCCATGGTGTTTATCACAGCAATAGGAACCGAGACACTTAGGAAGGCAGCAACATAACTGACTTACTGACATACTTACTTCAATGTAGATGTAGTGTTTACTGTTCTCTATTACGTTGATGTAGGCAGAGTGGATTGACTCCTCATGGTGCTTTATTCCAGCAGACCAATCAGCAGCAGATCGGAGCAACTGTAAGACAGCGATCAGCAACGAGCAAACATCAGACAACAGAGATGGCACTATTTGTACTGATGAGATGAAGTCACTCCCTCTAAACCAATGGCCACAGTCCCACATGGTGCAAGGGTGAGTTGGGGCACACCCAGAATCCACCCTTGTGATAGCTCATCTTAGTTGTCAGCTTGTCACGCCTGGGAAGAATGAACCTCAACTAAAGACTAAAGAATGCCTCCACACACTGGCCTGTGGGCAAGTCTACAGGGCATTTTCTTGGTGTCTAATTGATGTAGGAGGACCAGGCTTGCTGTGAGCAATGCCACCCCTAGGCAGGTAGGCCTGGGCTGTATCAAAAAGGTGTGAATGGAAGCCAGGGAGCAAGCCAGTAAGCAGTGTTTCCCCACAGCTCCAGCTATAGTTCCCTGGATGATGAGCCAAAACCTGTAGGATATAATAAAGCCTTTACTCCCCAGTTTCTTTTTGGTCATGGCATTTGTTATAGCAACAGAAATTATATCCATTCAAAGATTGAAGACTTGCGTTGTGGTTCCTACAAGGAATTTTTCGAAGACTTATTTAGGTCATTACAATTAACATAACTTTGTCCTCTTTCCCTGTGACAGTCCTTCAGCTGTGCCTACATGCAGGTCAAAGACCCTGATGTAGGGCAGAGATTAGTGACTGATGTGTCTATCAGCAAACCTCATACCTAGTAAACACTTTGTAACTGTTGGCTAATGATGACAGCATAAGCAGGTACAGTTGAGCTATGGCAGATCACATCAAAGAGAGAGGAGGAGAGCAGATACAGAACAGACCATGTATGGCCCTGCATGTGTGTGTGGGGTCGGGGGGGGAGGGCAGGGGAACAGTGGAGGCATCCCATAGACTCTCCAACACTAAATGACCTTCATTTGGCAATCCTTCCAGGGTTTTAAGTGTTGCAGTATGACTTTTACATATAGTAAGTGCTTACTATATACCTCTTGGTTTTCTTAAGCAACTTTGTATCATTGCAGAAAAACTATCAGAGGCCTGAGTATGTAGCAGCTGGTAGAGTGTCTGCCTACCATACACAAAGCTCTATTTGCCATCCCTAGTACCCCATAAACCAGATGTCATTGCCATACACCTGTGATCTCAGCATCTGGAGAGTGGAGGCAGGAGGCTCAGAAGTTCAAGTCATCCTTGGCTACATAGTCAGATTAAGGCAAGCCTGAACTACATGAGACCCTGTCCCACAACTGTGAAAGCGAGAAAAAAAGGTAAGGGGGGAATAAAGGGTAAAAGGGGAAGAAGGAGGAGAAGAACTATAAAAATATATTTGTTGTTTCTAATTTTAAATGAATATTGAAACCGTTCCTCATGAACTAGGACTGTAAAATAAAACCCAGGAGATAATCCGTTTTCTACCAGTTACCTATAAAAAGGTCTGGAAAAATACATAGCAATTTTAAAATAATATGTACCAGCCTAAGGGAAAGTAAAGCTAGTGCTTGCTAGAAGTCATCATCTGTGTCACCCTCAAAATAAAATCTTGATCTGATATGGGGTTCTTACTCGACAGTATTCCCCCAGCACATGCCGCTTTATTTCAATTTTATCAGGTACATGCATGTGAATATATAAAGTGGAAAATGTAACCATGCACACAAATCAACTTAATATTATCCAGGAAATAGCAGGTTCTCCAAGGACCTGTGTTATCAGTCACCAGATAGAAATAAAGATTAGCTGGGCAGGTGTGGCACACACTTTAATCCCAATACTCAGGAGGCAGAGACAGAAGCAGGCAGATCTCTGTGTGTTCGAGACCAGCCTGGCCTACAGAGCAAGCTCCAGGACAGCTAAGGCTACACAGAGACACCCTGTCTTGAAAACCAAAACCAAAACCAAACAAAAAAGAATAAACAGAAGTTTCAACTTTTGTCTGTTTAAATTAATGGAACATAAATAATACTGCTAAGCAGCATGAGCCTGAAAATGCAGACTGCATTGGAAGCTTCTTAGAGCACTCCTTAAGTCTCTAACACCAGAGACAGCCTGGCATCTGGAAGTGCACAGTGGGAAGCAGGCCCCACAGCATTAGCAACTTCACTTTGGCCATGCCAATGCCATGGAGGTTCAATACCCTCTACTGAACAACAGAGTGCGCTCTGCCCCCGCCCTTACCTCCCAGCCCTTCCTTATCTCCCTGAACCACTGTTAAGACAAAATGGCAGAACAAACAAATTGGCCTCGCCATAGTGAGACCTCCTTTGTATGTTAACCTAAAAACTTAATTATAAATCCTAACATGGTTATAAATACATGTGGCACTTAGTAATTCAGAGCTCTGTCAAGTTACTGGCTAAATCATAAGCAACCCTGATTGGAAGCCCCATCCTTCCTGAGATACAGAAACCTGCACTTCTTTCTCGTTGTCAAAACCTGCTCTGATTCAGACTCAGTACACTCATGTATGAAGGGTAAAAATTTGCAGCAACCAAATGTCATAGCAGGTGTCAACCTGCATGTCACAATAGTTTGGAGTGTCTTCCAAGCTATAATGAAAGGAAATTCTTGGGGCAGGGTACACTGGTAGGCAACTCTTAGGTTCATTAGCCATGCCTACCAGGAAGAAAAGCAAGGAAATCAGATGCCATTTTCCATGAGGGATAGGTAATCAGAGGGATTTAAATGCTTAAGGTCAAGCTGTGTGTCCAGAAAGCATACCCGTTGTATGGGACAGACCACATACGAAAGTGGAGGATCTCAAAATGCTCACAACACCCAAATACAGGAAATTGCCCAATTCCCGAGGGCTCGTGGTTATAAAACCATTGCCTAAGTCCAAGTTTTAACTCGTAATGGAAAGTCACTTCAATAAAAAGTCATTATCTGGGAACAAACTTGAAAGTTAAATTTTAAGCAAAAGAGAAAAAAGGAAAAACTATTTGGGGTTATTAGTCATTTAATTTTCTAATTAGTTGAAACTTGCTTGTTACCACAAGAGCAATTGAAACTAATTTCCTTTTGGACCTGCCTGCATTTTTGCCTTTGGAACCCTGAAGTTGTAGAAGATCATCCCAATTTCTGTGCATCTTTGATGGTCTAGAAAGTTCTATCGGTAGCCAAGACCATCAAGCATGTGCCGATTCATTTCCATTTGTTTTCTATTTGAGAGTTGGTCTCTTTGTTTCCTTGACCTCACCAGCTTGTCTCATATTCATAGTTTTGAAACAATATAATTGAGACGAGCCTCAGGGCCATCCCCTCACATGCAAAATAATACACCAAATGTGCTGGGAATGAAATCTAACCTATACTTCTCTGACCTCAAATTTGAATACACATCATGAAAATGGCATAAATCTGACTTGATGGTTTAGGGACAAAAATCAGAACGAGGACCAGAAATTTTCCTTTGTACAGTGTCCTATTTTTTAAACCAAAAATAGCCTTCTCATTAACCACAACCCTTCCCCTCCCATACAATGGGCCTAAGATGAATACATAAAGAACAGAAAATGTCTCTTGCAGGAAAACCTTAGGACAGTATAGTATCTGCCCCAAGTTTATTTCTCCTGAATGCTTCTATTCCCTGTAAATCAAGTGTTAGGATGGATGCGACTCCCAGACTAGAGAGAGCATCAAAGGGCTCACTCTAACAGAACAGAGAAGGGTTTTCCCAGTGGGAGATTCTTGTTTTGTTTTCTATTATGAAACAGGGCTTCATGTACCACAGGCTGGAGTCAAAGTCATTATGTAGGCAAGGATGATCTTGAACTTCTGCTCCTTCTGCTTCTACTTTCCTGGCACTAAGATTACAGATGTGCACCACCATGCTTTGTGTAGGCCACATGAGCCAGTCAAAGATGGCGCCCAGGGGAAGTCAGATGGGCGAGTCCTGAGTTGTTTACAACAACAACAACAAAAAAAGATTGGTTGCCTTGATGGAACCAGATGAGGTCACTGCATGAACAATTCCTTTTTACTAGGTAAAACATAGGGTGCCTAGGCTCCTGATAGGCTGCCCTTTGAAACCACTGACTGGCTGTTTTCCCACTCTGTGGTTTTTTTCCTTTAAAAGATTAAAAGATGCTTGCTATGGGACAATAAACAAGTTCCTGCTTGACTAGACTCCCTGTTGCATATGACTGTTGTCTCCAGGATTCTGGGAGGCTGGGAACCTGGCAGTGCACTTACCTTTCCTCAGACCCAGCTCAACCTTCCCTGGTTGGGCTAAGCCCCCTGCACTTTGTGTAATTGTTGAATTTCATGTATGCAGATAGTGTGTTTAGATCAAGCCCTCCCTTCATTCTTTCCCTCTCTTTAGTCCCTCCCTATCTACACCATTCCCTCACAGCCTCATGCATTATTTTTTTGAGATCCACTGTGTCCACCTAGTGCTGTCAGTATACACATGGGTGCAGGATCATGTACTGGAGTGTGTGTAGCCTTTCTGATCAATGTGCAGAGAATGAGGGGCTGTGGAGTGAGCGGCCCTAAACAGGACATCTGTATCACAGTGTCTTTGGCACACACAGGAGCAGTTGCATAAGTGAACCATCAGTGTCTGTGACTACATACACAAGACCAAGGCCAAACAATGCCTTAGCATGTGGTGGGGTGTCACAAAGCTGGCATTCTGGGTCTTATGGGATGCCGAGGACCAAGCCCAAGGCTTCAGGCACACTAGGCATCAACCAGCAGGGCTACAGCCATAGCGCTAAGTACAAGGGTTGAGAAAGGACTGAGCGTGAGTTGTCCTGACCCTACCAGACCCTGATGTGGGCTCCTTAAAGGGAACCACTCATTCTCTCCCCTCAGATCCTTAACTTCATGTAACCAGAAAGTAACCCTAGGTTAGGCACTAAGATGATGAAAAGTTAACTATAAAAATATTGGGTTTTGAGGATCCAAAGGACAAAAGCAATTACAGAACTCAGGAATAATGTATTTTCTACTTCGGTGACCTTGTGATGTCAGCAGCCACCATCTGACCGCTACTTATGTAACCAACTGTACCTACGGCACTGCAATTCCTTTTCATATTTTTTTCCCTCTGAGATCCACCAAGATGGGTTTAATTATCTGGTCCCAAGTTCTAGCAGCAGCTTCTATTTAGTAATAAGCAACTATAATGCCTTTAAAAGTCAGGGTATGTAGGCATTTGAGTTTTATGTGAGCTCTGAGCTACATCAGGGGGAGTCAATAAAAGATAATACAGTACAGTGCCCCGTCATTTGTTAAATATGAAAGGGTCCCTGTGGCCTGAATAGAGCTAAGATCTGATTCACACACATCTTTCCCGTGAGGAAGGGGGTGGTCTGCTAAGGCCTCATGCCGCTGGCACCTGCACTGGGATACTGTGCTTTCCCTGACTCGCTGGTTTTCTGATGCATTGACTGTGCTTAGCTGACTAATGTCCCATGTTCCTAGAAGTGCTGCCTCAAACTTTTTCACCTCTTTACCAGTGCTGCCTCAAACTTTTTCACCTCTTTACCTGTACTCTCAGATACATTGTGTCAAACAGAATAGACCTACAGTGGAGCTGTGGGAGCATCTCGGTGGTGACCTCAGCTCACATGCTGGCCCATGAAGCATTCCACACTCACATTCCTTTCTCAAGATGCCCTCAATGATATGTAGCTAATTTTCTTCCATTTTAGTCCCTCTATTTCAGTGTGTCTGTCTTTCCTATGCATTCTGTCCCTTCCTTGCATTCCTAGTTTAGCAGCACAGAGCATTAGTTCTTTCTGAGACCTCCATTGCCCTGGCTTTCACTAGAAAGTTTTTCATATGTATGCAACTCAACCTCCAGAGTATTCAGACAGAAATAGATGGGAAGAACTGAATGAGAAGTCTTTGGGAATGGTCCTTTGGCCCACAAGCCCTTTGGTGGCTCCCTGGAACATTAGCATAACAAAGGCATCCCCCCCCAAAGAAGCCTTGGAATCCCTTTGTTGTAAAAGTCTTATCAGCATTTCACAGGCAAAAGCCAGTTTCTGAACTGCTGTCACTGGTTCATCTTCAGGGTAATGGGCAAATTCAAGGTCACTGAGGCATCTTCAGAGCCCTCTTCTGGCCTTACACCAGCCCTCTCCAAGGGCAGTGATTTACACCAGGTGGCCTCATTCCTCAAGCACAAGAACCAGCTCTGTCCCTCCTTGTTGGCAAGCACTGAGGGCATCCAGGAGGGCTGCCAAGAGGATTTTCAATCTCACACTTTCTCTTCCCAGCAAACTGTGTTTCCAGAGACAGCAAGAGTGATTTTTATCTCCCCCGATGCAAATGATGATTTAAAGTGTAAAGAGCTGGTGCTTAAACATATGTTTTTATAAACATATGGTACTTAAACATGCTGGCTGAGTCGGTGAATGAATGAGTGTTGGTGTAATCAGCAGTAAGCTAAAATATCTCAGCAATGTATATGCATATATGTTTAAATCATCATATATACTGAGTTATTTATGTATGTATGTGGGCACACACTTGCCACAGGAGAGGTGTGAAGGTCCTGCAGGAGTTTCCTGCTACCATCTGAGTGCAGTATACCAAACTCAAATCGTCAGGCACGGCCACAAGCTCCCACCCCATGCCATCCCGACAGCTAACAGAAGCTAGCCTTGGTAAGGTGACCCCCACACCAATTTTAATGCAAGTTCAAATCTTAAATCCTCTTCTTTTCTTAATGCCAGCATCCTTGTTTCGTCTCTCAGAATGAGTAAGCTCTCTCTTTACCACATAGAATAAATTAAATAGGTTCATACAATTGAATGTTTGTATGTCTCTTTAAACTGACATGATTACATATCTACTACAGGTACTAGTCTCAAGTGGTTTGTCCAGTTTTTTTCTTTCTTGTGTGTTTGCGTGTGGGTGGTTAGGTGCATTGCCCTTGTGTGCATGGGTACACATGCACTTATGTGTCATTGCTGTGGAGGCCACAGGACAAGCCTGGGTATTACTGCTTTTGATCTTTCCACCTAAGTTTTGTGAGACAAGATCTCTCATTGGGCTGGGGCTCATGAGGTTGGCTGGCTGGTGAGTCCCAGGATCCTTATTCCTCCCCTCCCCAGTGCTAGGACTACAAGTTCACATCCCCATGTATAGCTTCTTTATCTGGGTTCTGGAGATCACACTCTGAGCCCGCTGCTTGCGTGGCAAGGACTTCACCAACCTAGCTATCTCCTCAGCCCTGCCTTGTTCTTTACCTTGTATTATTTTGTCTCTGTTGTAGGATAAGTTTACATTTGCTGGGCACACACCTGTGCTTGCACACAGTGCAAAGTAAGAGATTCAGACACTTCATTTGTAAAAGCAGGCTCACTACACCCCTGCCTGAGCTAGGTCAAGCCACACTGGTGACATGAACAGCAAGCAGGGCACGGGGCTTCTAGCCAAACAATGTTTTGGATATTACAGAGACAATGCCAAAGGTATCCCATACTCATTCTGTCCTTGCATAACTTCAAGACATATGAGAGGCCATTGATAAAGGGAACCAACTGCTGACCACTGAGCCCCAGCTGGTATTCACCAGAAGTGGGTGGCCCTGGATAAGCCCCAGAGTCCACTGGTCAGAGTTTTCTTGTTTGTAACTTGCTGTGGTTGGACTAGAAGCTGTAAAATTTTATGACTCCATTAAACAACTTCCTGTTGTTTTAAAAGGGCCTCTAAAAGGTATGTGGTTAATTAAGAACTAAGATTCTATTGAATGAGAACTCACTTCTCAGACTCCAAGTTTCAGCCTCATCCCTGGTTCTTGAGCAGCACTGGCCCCAGGTTTACATTGTAAGTGTTGTTGGGGTCACCTGTCCAGGAATTATGGGGACATCTCAAGGAGTCATGGGAACAGCTATGCCTGCACTGTGTGGTCTTTGGAGGGCATGTGTTTATTAGACAATACAGGACAACATATTTTAGAAAGATGACAAACTGTCATTAAGAGTAAATACAACACTGAATTTTCAAAGATCCACTTAGGTGTGCCTCACAAAAATCTGTAGTAAAGGTGGCAGGCAATTAGTCCCATCACAAAGACATTACCCAGCAGTACGTTCCTCACCTGCACATTGGCGGGGACCGCCCCAGGCACCTGATACCTCAGCTCATGCGCAGTGCTTTGAGATTTTGGAAGCAGGAAAGGGTACGAAAGGGAGCGGTATTTTGGCTTCATGATCTAAAACAGAAAAAAGAAAATTCAAAAGAGATTCAAATGAGAAAAAGGTCCTTTATTTCTCACTTTGTAGTTCCTGGGAACCAAAAAAGTTGTAAGTTAAAAGTTTTCTAAGTTAAAAGCTGGAAGTTGTCTTTGTTTTCTGTGTCCATTCTTCTCCCTCCACCTTTGTAGCAGGCATGAATCCTTCTTATAGTACAAGAGAAAAGCAGATGCGATCCACAGTTACGGCAATATATAATTGCAAAAATGAAATTCCTATTTTGTGGGCTGTTTTACTATGTTGTAAATGTCTTACCACAGCAATTAGGCTTGATTTCATTTTTTAAAACTTCAAAGTAAAATAGGACTAAGAATCATGATTTGATTTACATTATTCAGGAATTTTGGAGCTCATCTGTCACCTTATAATTCTGGATGCTAAGGCAAGAGGAATACTGTGAGGTTCAGGCCATGGTGGGCTACATAGGAACACTGTCTCAAAAAACAAAGTTTTTACTACTGTTAATTAACATTTTAACTAATTCTAGTTGTATTTGAACCATTAGAAGTGATGTAGAAATACTTTTTCTAGGAAGAGATTTTATACCTAAAAATATTATTGAGTGTTGTGTTAATTTATCCTCTTAGGAGCACAGCATAGAAGTATAGAAAAAAATCCAACTGTAAATATTAGCCATATTTTTATTTTTGACAGTACAGTAGATTAAAAGTAATATTGAGCCAGAAAGTGGTGGCGCACACCTTTAATCCCAGCACCCAGAAGGCATAGGAAGGCAGATCTCTGTGAGTCTGAGGCCAGCCTGACTTACAGAGTGGGCTACACTGAAAAACTGTTGAAAAAACCAAGTAATAAAAGTAATACTGCTTTGCTTACTCATGCATCCTCTCCAAACTTGAATTGAAAATACTGCACTGATTTTTTGTTGTTGTTGTTGTTGTTGTTGTTACTTTCACATGAATGGTAAGTAAATTGATACCTTAAGTTGTTTGTAAAAATAAAATAAGTCAACTAGGTCCCTTTTCCAGGTTATGAGAGTAGCCAGCATCGTTATTTCAAAGAAATGCAGTGGGCCTTAAGAGCACCAATGATTTGGCTGAATTTGTGCATGTTACGGTTTTGCTGTTATAGCAATGGCAGCATGTAAGAGGGCTCCATCTGGAGAAAAGAAATGGCTCCAGCTCATCCTGCTTGCTCTGCCCAAAGCCAGCTCCACAGTCCAGTGCCAGCACAAGGCCAGAACAACCCAAGATCGGAAGGGTGAGCCTCTCATCTAAACAAGCCCCACAGACCCTATAATAGTGTCTACATGCCTACTGACTTTGTCTCTGCAAATACTTAACCCTTGCATTTTGGGGTTCAAAGGCTTAAATTTACAGGCCTTGCATCTATCACTCCACATGGGAATTGTCTGTCATAATATTCTAAAAAAAAAAAAAAAAAAAAACCAGTCCCTATTTTGTAGTGCTCCAAAGCCCAGCACTATGAAAATGATATTCCCAACAATAGACAACAATAGATGGTGTCACAGATGTGGCCACAGCAGCCCTTTTCTTCCAACCCTCTGAGCTTCTCCTCAGCCAGAGACTAATGTGGGACAAGTTGTAACAACATTGGTACCTTCGTGAAGTTCCAGCGCTGGATGAAATGCCGAGCCACGTCTCGAGCTGCCTTCCCATGAAGCACAGAACCAATATCATGCCAAGGCATCCGGGGAGTGGAGTACCTGTCAATGAAATCTGCCCAGGGGCACCGGGCAGGGACCCATTGCCAAGTTCAGTGCCAGGAGACAGAAATACTCTGACCTCAACTAGGATACATCATAATCATGGTCAAAGGAAACATAGATATTCAATCAAGAAACTCAATCAACCACTCCCTTCTACGGACCATACTGTATGTTCAATTTTAATCTGCAGACAAGGCAAGATGTGAATTGGTACAAATAATCTATGCCTGAATGCTTGATAGAATCTCCCTTTGATCTGTGGAAATAACAACAGGCTATCAATACATACAACACCACTCTGCTTACCTCTTAAACATACAATCACAATCACTAAGACACATCTCTCTAAGGAAAGAAGATTGAGAAAATAGATACAAAAGAATATGACCAAAAGAGGGCCACCTTCTGGTGGAAAATTTCAGTTTATATCCTAAAATACAGTGATGGGAAATTTGGAAATTTTAAGTTTCATGTTTCTTACTACTACAACAAAGGATTCTTATGGGTATGACCCAATTGGATTTCCAAATTTTAACCAAATTTTCAAAGATAAAAATAAAACAGCCATTGAGGATCTTTAGGTAGTTAATGGTAGGCAGGGGAGGGAATGGCATTTTCTTCAGCGCTGAAGCCACTTCTTGTCACCTGTGCTCCTGTAGGTAACGCCTTACCTATGCTCTTGATAACGAACCTAATTAAACTCACTAGACCATCAGGAGCACAAGGGTTTCTCATTGGGAAGAGAAAGGAGACCAATGGGAATAGGAGCAGGGAAAAGGATAATGCAGGAGGTGGGGAGAACCAAAATATATACATGTATGAAAATTCCATAATAAAACTCACTACATATAATTAGTACGTACAAGTTAAAAACGTGAAATTAACAAAACAGAAGGCACTTATATCGTGCACATGCATAGTTGAGATGCCCCAAAGTGAAAAGCAGACTAGAACCTGCAGCCGCCCTCCTCTCCAATACTCACCAGCAAAAGGCTTGTCCAGCTGAACCCAGTCCTTGAAGACAAAGTTGCAGTAATCCTTCCCATGCCAAAACCTGGTCTCCCCATGTAGCTCTCCCACGCCTGTTTGCACACTTCGGATGGAGCCAGTATCTGTGAACATTGCAAGACTGACTCAGAGGCTGAGAGCTAAGTAGGCCCAGAAACTAAACATTCCATATACCCTCACTTTCCTTCCTGAATCCTGTTACTAGGGCAGCCCTATGTCCATTTGGCCAAGGACTGTGGGCTGACGTAGTATTCCAACCCTCACGAGATTCTCTTTAAGTAGCAATGGAGGTCCTAACCAGAGTCATCATTAGTTAACATGGAAGTTAACATTCTTGGCAGTTGAGTAGCTTATTCCCACAGCCTACCAGGTCAGGAAGAATAGACCACAGAGTAAACTATAAAAGATTCCCCAGGTGGGACTTGAAGAGACCACTAAAGCCAAGTGAGGTGGGGGTACACTAGACAGAGGCAACAGGAGCCAGGCTACCTCTTCCCTTACCAACATGGTGGATACGTATGCCTCCCTCATCTCAAAAAAAGCTCATCTCATACTTATAGGCAGTCCATGCTCCAGCCCCAGAATTAGATAGCTACATGGCACCCAGTGTCTACATTTGGGGTCATAAAGCCTTACATGTAAAGAGTATGATTTGGCCTAGATGACAGCTAAGATCTTTCAGTCTTTAACATTCTATATGCCTGTTATCACAAACATCATCCATAAAAATATAACAGAGAGAAGCTTACAATCGCGGCACTACAGCAGCAGTTTGCAGCAGCGTTCCATAGAGCCCAATGGACCACTCTACTTAAGAAAGTTTAGGGATGTGTCAGACAACAAAGCAGGGGTTCTTAGAAGCAGAACTGAAACCACAAATGCAGTACTTGGCACAAAAGAGGCATTAGGCAGGCAGACATGGGGTGCAAGAATGATTGTTAAATGAGTACTAATAGTACCATTTGAAGTCGCCAGTGAGAGAGCTGCTGGCCACCGCATATTGCCACTGCCATATCACCCTAGAACTGTTCTTGTAAAATGCAAAGTTGTTTATAAACCTCTCTAGAATCACCTCCCTTCTACAGGGATTTAGTGTGTGTAGAAGTTGCTTCCCAAACCTATAGCCATCTGTCTTTTTCTTCCCCATTTTCCCTTCGCTTAGCCCCGGGCTTCAGCATGTCTTATTTGTCACTGTATTTTGGCTGGCTGACCTGCCTTGCTTCTGTGCAGTTTGTGTGTCACCCATTCTGTGTAGAATGTCCTTCCCTCCCTTTGGTCTGATCTCTTAGTCATTCGTTATAAGCCATATCATCCTGGACTCAAGAGAGACACAACAGACCCCTGCAAGGATTGGTGTCACCAGCATCGATGTTGTCCTATCTGGAAATGCCCTCCCAACACCTTTGACCAGGCCAGGCAATTGCATAAAATGCTGAGTGGTTAACCCTCCTCCAGGAGTCTATAAACTCAAGGTGGTTACCCTATCACTTCACCACCTGCTGTAGTTCCTAGCATCCAGGAAGTAATTAATCAGTGTTTGCAGAACATATTTTATGCAGTCACCACACACCTAATATTGTATCACAAAATTAATAATTAACTTTGCAAAGCTCATTAAATATATTGTATGAAAGATGGTTTAAATTGTCAATGTCGACTAAAGCAAATAATGTTTGAGATAGACTACTATTACCTTCTCTCAGTCATTGGCTTTCCTGTTGTAGGCCTACCCCTGGAAGGAAAGAGCACATGCGGGCTGTGGGCTGCCCAGTAGACTCTTCATAGAAAGCATGGACATTGTTGGGAAGGGGGGGGCTTCAGAGGAGGAGGTAGGAAAGGGAGAGTGAGAATACAAAATAAACGATGAGTCAATTCCAAATTTGTGAACAGAGAGATGGCTTAGTAGATAAAGGTACCTGCAACCCAGCCTAGCTCTAAATCAATGCCCAAGACTCAGATGGTGAAAGAACTGACTCACTCAAGTTGTCCTCTGATGTCCACAGACCCGCCAGTGCCACATACACACAGGTGCACCCACCACCACCACACACACTGTGATTAAAAAGTTAGCTGTGTGTGGTGATTATAAGTATATGCATACACATAACTGATTTTCATCAATTTGAGAAATGAAGTTAAGGCTTTAACAACGACACCCATACACTTGTTGAAATATTATGGTAGTTGGTTATCATTTTGAGAATGAAATGAAAGTAACTTTCTAGTCTCAGAAAACTGGATTCAGATGCCTGCAATGGAAATGTGCTTTTGTTTGTACCAAGGCTCAAGTATTCCACAAGACGGCGGTCCCCCTCACAACACATGGAGGCAGCCGAGCACACATGGACATCTGTGAGCAGGAACAGCGGCACCACATCTGGCTCCCCAATGACATCATCGCAACTGCAACTGCATCTCTTCTCCTTGGGTGCCTCGTGCCAGTTTTCTACACCCTTGTCTGTCAGCAGCCAAAGTTTGCACAAGGGAGTCTTCCTGTTCCTGGCAGGAGTCTCCAGGCCTTGCTGTGGTTGCCTCTTTTTTGTATACCTAATACTAAAATTGCCAGCATCCTACAGCATCAATACCTGCCCACCCTGGGTGACTCAGTTCCACCCTCTCAGGTGTCTGTGCTGCTCTCTCTGCTACTCTGCCCAACTATCTTCACATCCTCCCATCAGTTCCAAAACCATAAGGACATCGTAATGATTCTTCTGGAAATTTCCATTCCCTTCAGTCTTGAGCACATTGATACAACCTGGTTGGATCCCTTTACATCAAGTATTTCCTTCATGAATCTTTACCTTTAACCAACTCCCATCATGGTGTTCTCCAGCATTTTTTGAATTAGACTCTTTCAGCCCGACTCTCTGAAGCCTCCATAACTGACCAACCAACAGCCCAGTCCTCACAAATCAATCCTTAATCAAAACCCCCAATTTCTCAAACTCCGAGAACCCAATGGTGTGTTCATGGTTCATTTCTTGTCAGACGCTACCCTGAACTGACATGGAAGCTTTCCTGACTGCATTGTCTCTACTCACACTGCACATATGCAAAGCTTGCTTACATCGCCTGCATTGCTGGAGCCTGGTGGAAGGCCACATAACACAGGGTGTAGATAGGACATCGCTTTTCTAAACCCTAGCACATGCTAATTGTGGGAGCATATCTGACTGCAGGGCTTCCTGTCGACCTCTGTGGGTTTGTCCCACTGCGTAGTTAAGTTTGAAAACTGAAAATGAGTGCTTTTGGTACTACTTTCAAACCTATGCCCTAAGACAGAATATTATTCTAAAACCACTGTTCTCCCCTTTCCTAGTCTCTACCTTCCAAGTTTTTTGTAGTATTGGGGCCTCATACATGCTAGGCTAGCACTCTTCCACTGAGCTACATCCCTAATACCCTACCTTTTGAATCTATATAGTCACATCCAAGGGTAGTTCCAATCCAGGCCCTGAATGTATGCATTTTTGAAAATGTTCAGTCTCCAAATTTCTAATTTCCAAGCATGTGTGAGGGTTTGTGACTTTGCCTTGGGTCTGTTAATAAGGTCCCACCAGCAGCGAGAGAACTAACCACCGAGCTAATCAGTAAAACATTCCAAACTACTTCATGATCAGCTAGCAGACAGTACGCTGGTTTTCTTTAGTTTCTTGCTTTGTTTTGTCTTGTTTTCAGACAAGATCTATCTAGCCCTAGCTGGCCTTAAACTCACTATGTAAGCCAGGCTGGCCTGGAGTTTGGCACAGTTCTCTGCCTCTGTCCCCCAAATGCTGAGACTGCAGCTACATACCACCACGTGGGCCTGAGATAAGCTTCTTGGAGAAACACTAAGTCTTTTGCACCCAGTGCAATGCAGCCCAGATACGTCTGGAGAAGCCATAGCTTACTATTATCATCCCAATCATTATGAAATCCTGCTTGCTGGTCTGGTCAGTATTACTTACAAAGGAAAGCTTAGCAAATGCTTCCCAAATGTTAGAGGAATCAAATTCTATATTTAAAACAGTGTCAAGCAAAGCAATAGACACCTGGAACTCTCCTTAGACATAATTCTGAAAAGAGAAATCCTTGAGGGCAGCTAGGTGCTTTTCTAGTTAAAATGCATATTACAGAATCTACCATGGCTACTGACCTCATAAAGTGGAATTGAGTTTAGTGTAGTCTTTCTGTTTAAAACTGGCAGTGAGTTCTCCTGTGCTGAGAGCATAGCACCAAGTTCCTTGTGCCCACAGAAAGCACCAAGTTCCTTGTGCCCACAGAAACCAGTAATGTTGAATTAAGCACACAGGATTGTCTTTTCAATGGGAAAGATGAAAAACCTGTTCTTCCATCTAGAAAGCTGAGAATTGGGAGTGATAAATGTTTGGTGTTCTGGGTCATCTATTGGGCCAGGCCATATTAAGCTTCCATAACCAAGACTGTGGTGATTGGTAATCTAAATGACTCTTATAGTCAGTCAGAGGCTGCCCCAGCTCCCAGAACCAGAGGTGGCCAACAGCTCTGTGCTATCTGTATGACCAGACCAGGCCAGACCTTTAGGCCCTTATGCTAGCACAGGTATCCTGCCCCTAGAATCCATCTTCTTTGAGGAAATGAGTTGAGTTTCAATGTAATTTTGTTTTCTTAGGCACTGGGGATTATATTGCACTAGAAAGCCTTTTTGCAGACTATACTGAGGTGAAATACAATGGGAAGAGACAGACTCTTTCCAGCCTCCCAGAGTATGAGACAGGTTGACCTAGTCAGTCTGACAATCTGCGCCTTGTTTTCATACTTCTCTCTTCATGCACTTCTCCTCCCCACATGGACACCTGCAAGACCCTTCACATCTGTACCCTGCATTGTGACCTCTGCATGGTGAGGCATGCTGGGAGCCCCTTCCATGTGGCTATCTGTGCATTACCACTATCCACTGACTCTCCAGAGATCAAATTCTGACAGCAGCCTTCTTGTTTTGCTAATATTCCCATCTCCATAGTCACATTTCTAGAACATCCCAATTATCCCTGGCCATGTGTTCTTTGAACTTGCTTAGGACACCACCCCAGATAGTTTCCTCATTCTCCTCCTCTCCTTTTTGACCTCCAGTTGAAACTCAACCCATAAGAGTGTGATTCTTTGATCAGGTTACATAAAATAGTAATTTATGCCTGTATGTTCACACCATTGGCTTCCACTCTGATATACTATGAGCAATGGTCTGTGTGTGTAACCCCATCCTTATTACATTAATTTCATCCATATTACTTAGGAGGGTGGTTGGCATATCATAGGAGCTCAGTATATATTTATTCAATCGAGCATATAAGGGGGCTGGAGAGGTGGCTCGGAGGTTAGAATGCATGCTGTAACTTCAGGGGACCCAGATTTGGCTTCCAGCACCCACCAGAAACACACACACACTCACATAGTTAGGGTTAAAATAAATCTTTGAAAAGCCATGTGAGCTTCTGCTTTAATGACTGCTCTGTCACATTAAGGATGACCCAATCCCCTACTTCCTTATCATTCCCAGAGGCTAAAATCTGGGTTGTTTACTTCTTCCTTTTCTCTTAAACACGTCTCCAGTCAGTGAGTGGAGGGGACTGTGGTTGCATGTCACAGATACTTCCCCACAGCATCATGTCCTAGATCATCACTGTGGCTCTCGTGCCCTCAGATGGGGTAGCCTAATGTGCCACACACCTTTCTGCCTCTTGCACACCACTAACCATCAGCATGCAGACCCTTTCACACTTCAGCAACCTTATCCTTCCATCTCATTTAGATCTCAATTATAAAGCAGCAAACTCGCACACCAGAATGCCACTTCTCAGAACTGCCTTAACTAAGGATTCTTCTTAATATTTATAGCTGCTGGTACCCTGTCTTGGTCCCCTTAGTTACCCAAAGGCTTCCAGACCTCTGAACAGTGAGGTGCACGTAGGCACGGGAATAAATGAAAGTTGTTCCTAAACTTAATATGCCAATCAAGAACTAACCTCACATTAACTAAGACATCTCCCATGTAATATTTTCCATTTTAAATTATGTGTTAATATTAGAATTTACAAGATGAATGGTTACACTGAGCTTTGTTTCATTACATATAGTTAATGCACTTTAAAAATTGCTGTGTCTGGGTCCATGTGATGGCTTGCCACCAAGCCTGGAGACCTGAGTTCAATCCCTTGGCCCCACAGAGTGGAAAGAGAAGACCAACTCCTGCAAGTTGTTCTCTGACCTCTACACAGGCACCATGGCCTAGGCATACACACACACACACACACACACACACACACACACACACACACACACACACACATCATTAAAACGCAATTTAAAAGCTGGATTCCTAAAGAATGCTGGAGCCACTCCTCAAGTTCCAGCCTTACTAGTGAGGCTCCCTGGATACTCATCCCAGACTGTCCTCCAACATCCTAATCTAGTAGAACAGAACCTTAGCCTCAGGATGAAGCTGAGGCCAACATGGATGGAGTGTTTACATTTCTGCTAAGTCACACATGTGAATACCGAACACGAGGGTGCTGATGAACTGGGATTACACTGGGCAAGTGAGTCTCTTGCCATCCAGTTAGGTTTTCTCATGTGTGACACGTGAGATAATATTCCTGCCTGGCATGACAAGCATCGGGGCAGTGTGGGACCATCTGAACACTTGGCTGCTGATTTATTGTAGTGATCCCTCATCATTAGGTCAGATCAGTTGCCAAAACTTTCTTCTTTCCAACCTCCATAATTAGTCCCCAATTAATTCATTCCTCACATATTTGATGCTTCTCATAAAAAGTATCAGACTACATTTTTTAACCAGTCCCATGTAAAACATGAAAGTTCTATCAAAAAACTTTGTGATTTTTTTCAACAAATGCAACAAAAAAGTTGCATTTTTCCCCATCTTGTATGGGACTCTGTGCCTTGAGTGTATCCTCTTAACACCAGTCACTGTACCTCAGCTGCAAGTGGCATGTCGTATTATCAAGTAAGATGTTGGTCTTTCCATTCCAGTGCTCATTTCTTTCCTGTCCTGCCTATCCCCTCAGACTTCCTGTCTTCACCTACCTCCTCAAGTTACTGTCAGACCCTGAACAGAGGCTCCCTCCTCAAAACATTGCTGCTAGGTGAGCCAGAGGATGTCCTTCTGCCTTGCCCAGAGTTTGTGTGTGTACTCATGCGTGTGCACACTCATGAATGCATGCCTTGTGCCACAGGGTTGTTGAGTGTGTTTTCTCTCTTCACCGATAGAGTGTAGGTTCTCAGAAGTACACAGCTTGCACTGGTATGAAGCAGCGCCTACCTAACGTGAGACACGAAGGCTGAGCAGAAAGCTGGTATGAACACACACTCACTGTGCTCGTGCAACAGAGGAAGCAACAAACGCTGACACCCATGGGGTTCTGACGCTAGCAACTCACTTACCAGTGCTGTGCCTAGTGAGGCCCTGCTTGGACTCACCGGAAGGGCAGAAGAGTTTCAAGTGGGGCCTTAAACCATGGATTAAACTCTGGTGACTTCTAGAGTGGTTAAAATAACCTGGGGAAAGTTGAGAGTTCTTTTTCGTTTTACAAAGAAACATATTTACATATACATGCATGTGTGCGTACATGTATACATCAAATTTTCTAAACTTGAAAGCAAGCTTAGTTCTTTTTTAAAACAAACACATCTATAGAATCAGCCATGAGATCTATTGTGATAGAAAAAAATCACACTGCTCTAAGCATGATTTACAAAGAATAGTAAGAATATAGAACATCTGATGTCTGCTGATACAAACAGTATATTTCTGGATGAAAAGAAATACATTCCTTTAAAAGGCTTACTAATTACACCTAATGCCTTCCTTTTCCCTTCATAGCCTATCATGTTTTAGAAAGCTTTAGTCATTATGTGACCATCAAAAGTATCAATAGTGTTTATAGTGATTGTTATGATTACTTTGTATTGATAATATGTTTTTTTTTTTTTAATGAAGCAGAGGAGACTGGACATGGAGCTCAATTGGTAGCATGCTTGCTTACATGCACAGAACCCTTGGTTTAATCCCCAAACCTTATAAAACAGGCACGGTAGTACATGCCTGCAATTCCAGCATGGGATGGACAGGGGCCCAAGATCAGTCTCCACCACATAGTGAGTTTGAGACCAGCCTGGGCTGCATGAGACCCTGCCTCAAAACACGAACAGTGCCAGAGGCACTATGGTGTCACACAGGATGGCATGGCATTCAACGCCACCACAGATCCTTTAGAAAGCAAGTAGGCAAGGACTGGCTGCAAACATCACAGCACAGCTCTAGGGAAGACTCACTGGAGGCACTGTCGATGCTGCTGAGGCTGTCCGCGTTGTGCAGCTGGCGACGGTGCAGTTGCCGATACAGGCTGAATTTGGAGAATTTCCGGGGCTTTCCTACTCCTTTCAGCTTGCCGTCTGTCTCATCGACACTCTTCAGAATAGGCTCCGTTTTATGAGATCCATGGTTATCCTTGAGGCTTAAGGATTCCATAGACTCTATTGCTGCTGCCTGGGAGTTATTTAAAAAAAAAAAAAAAAAAAAAAAAAGGCCATGCATAGAGTATACTGCAATGGGGTTTTCAACGAAGTAGAGCCTAGAGGCAGTTTACAAATGGTGACCCATGATGGCCCCAGAACAGACTCTCCACAGAGTCTCAGGCCAAACTCTGTTTGTTTGTTTGTTTGTTTGTTTGTTTGTGGATAGATCTCTCTCCACAGACCTAGCTACCCTGGATCTTTCTATGTGGATCAGGCTAATGTCAAATTCAGAGATCCACCTGCCTCAGCCTCACACATTCTGGGATTAAAGATTCATGCCACCACGCCCAGCTAAAATTCTCAAAATTTCATTTCACTGATGCTTTTACCTCACAGTAATTACACCACGTAAATTCACTGTCAAAGCACACAACCTCTCAGATGAACTGACTTCCTCTGTCAGTACTTTGTTGCTGTGGTTTGACTGTAAAATGCCCCCCCCAGGCTGTTTGAACACTTAGTGCCCCGTAGGTGGCAGTGTTCTGGAAGGTTTTAGGAGGTAGAACCTTGCATGGGGGAGGTGAGTCCCTGGGGGTGGAGTTTGAGATTTGATGGCTTGTCTTCTCATGCTTCCTAAGTGCAGATGGAATGGGGTGAACAGGAGTCAAGCTCCTACATCCACACCTTCAGCAGCACGATGGGCTGTACTCCTTAACGTGTGGCATTGACCCTGCATCCCTTAAGCTGCTTCTCATCAGATATTCAGTCACAGAAAGGAGAACGGTTGACAGATATATCTAGGCAGAGCTCTTTCTCAATCCTCAGAAAAGCCAGAAGCATATCCAGCAGTAAGTAAGAACAGCCCATGAAATGTTTGGATAAGGATATTGCATTTGGGCAGAGTAGAGCTGAAACACAGCAATTATTTAGACAGCTCCTGATTAGCAGGCACTTTGAGAAGTCACTAGTTAATGTCCTGCTCCAATGCACTCTAAATAACCCCAGGCTGATCTACTGATTTTTGTGGGTCTGTAAGTGGGAAAATGCTAAAAACAAACAGATGCCAGCCATAGCTGAGCACACTTTGATAAGAGAACAAAACCCAACTCCAGCAGCCGCCTGGCATGGGCTTCTTACTCTTATTTAACCTAAATATTGACTGTCATACTTTTTTGTTGTTGTTGTTCATGAACATCTTTTCTCAAATAGAAAATTAAATTTGAATAGAAAAACAGAGCAATGATTGAGATCACATACTCTATACTGAACTCGCTCTCTCTCCTTGCAGGAGGGGAGCTGAAAGAGACCAGGTTCGGGTTAGGCAGGCAGTGTAGACTTCTAAAGCAAGGCAGGTGTGTCCACCTCAGCTCTCAGATGCCACCTGGGGATCACTGTGTATGTAGGTTTAGACAAACCTGTCGATTTTGTGCTATACCACGAAGGTGGCAGATACTCACTGTGAGAGAGCCCATAGACAGTCCCGAGGTGATCCTCTTCACACTGCCCACATCTGTGAGTCTGTGTTCATTGTCGTCCCACCTTCCATAGGCCAGGTCAATGCCACCCACGAAAGCCACCGATTGGTCGATAATGACAAGCTTCTCATGATGAGCCCACAGATAGACACTGGATGACACGTGGTCTGGGTGCCTCATCACCTGAAGACAGGAGAAATCCACAGAGAATGTGATTTATAAGTGCCCTCCACACCACAATAAAATAGATCTGCTTCCTCCCTGAAAACATTTTAAAAAATAATTCAGGCACAAAGATGCCGTCTACATATGACAAAGAGAGTCCCACAAATTTCAAATTTTATTCTCAGCATTAGCAGAAAAAGACACCCATCTAGTGTTTCTTTTCTTGTTTTCATTTTTTTTTAAAGGACTATGCTGGCTGGTCTTGAACTTGAGAACCCCCCCCCCCCCTGTCTCAGCTTCCTTAATGCTGACATTCCAAGTGCCACATGTGCCCTCCATGGTTTAAGTCCTCAACCAGATGAGGTGGTTTGAAGAAGCTGTCCTTTGACTCGAATGGCAACCAGTAAAGCTATGTCAACTTAACAGCTATAGGTTCTCTTTCCACCCCCTCCAACAGTTACCCTTGGTATAAATAAATGATTAAGTAAATAAAGTACTTAGCCAGCATGCATTTGTGTAAAGACATTTGATGAATTATCTTCATACCCTGATGATACAAGCACACGGGTATCTACACAGCTCCTCATGTGAAGGTACTCGGAGGCACTGATAAACGACTTTCAGAACTATTCCCTACATGACCCACTGGACCTCTCTTATGCTCATGTTTGTAAGTGGGAAGACACCAAAAATGTCGGCTAATGCTTTTATTTATTGTCAGAGAATACATAAGACATGAAACTTGTCACATTTCCACTTGTGATGTGCAGTTTTCCCGGTCCTGAGAAGGGCTGCTGTCAGGCCTCCTTTAAATCCTGGGTGGGGTTCATCAGGACAGCCATAGACTCACTGCCACTGTGCTTTGCCCTGCGGAGGCGTTTTCAGCATTGGTCAGCTCTCCTGACTGGCTAAGCCCATCCAGATTTCACACCTTTTCCTGGACTAGCCTGGGCAAGTTTTGGGCGGTGTGCCTGGTTACCCAGTGTGCCTGCGTTCACAGTAATCTCTTAGAATCCTTCCCATCCCACTGTAAATTGTCAGTGTGCCCTCACCTTCAACTTCTTATCTTCAGAAACCAGAGGCTTTCCTTTATCTCCTCCTTCTGACTAAAGGTTTCTTGAACTGGTCGACTCTTCTAGGAACCAACTACTGGCCACCAATTTTCTTCTTTCTTTTTCACTTGTTCTGCCTGGGACACATCTGTGCCCGCGTCTTATAATGTCCTCCCTCCCATTCTCTTTACATTTGTTTTGTTCTCTTTTGTCTGGATCCTTAAGTTGTAAGTTAAACTGACATGTTGAGACCTTATCTTGTTCCTAATGAAGGACTCATAGCTACAAACACCTCCCCTTTGTGCTGTTTTTGTTCATTCCTGTGAGCTTTGATACTTCTTTTATTTTCATTTGACTCTAAGGACAAATTTTATGTCTTCTCCTCCTTCCACAGGGGCTCACTATATAGCTTGGCTAGTCTAGAGCTTACCATGTAGACCAGGCTGTCCTCAAACACATAGAAATCCTCCTGCCTCTGCCTCCTGAGTGCTGGGATTAAAGGAGTGAGCCACCATGCCAGCCTGAGTTCTTCTTTTAAAAACTTTTACAAGTTTATTTATTTATTTGTTTGTTTGTTTTGAGATAGGGTTTCTATGTGTAGCTCTGGATGTCCTAGAACAAATTCTGTAGACCAGGCTGTCTTTGAACTCAGAGATATATTGCTGGGATTAAAGGCAGGCACTATTGCCACTGGCTTAATGTATTTAAATTAGCATACAGAATGATGAGCTTCATTATGAAGTTTTTACATATGTCATACCTTGTTCTTGTTTGTTCTCTCTCCCTTTTCTTCCTGACCTCAAATAAGCCCCCTACTTCCATGTGACACACGTATGTGTGTTTTTCTGTCTCTGTCTCTCTCCCTTTCTCCTTTTTCCCTCTCTCTCCCTCTCCCTCTGTCTTTCTCCCTGTCTTCCCCCTCTCTCTGTCTTATCTCACTCTCTCTGTCTCTCTCCCTTTCTCTCTCTCCCTTTCTCTCCCTCCCCTTGTTTCTCTCTTCCCCTCTTTCTCTGTCTCTCTCATTCCCCCTCTCTGTCTCTCTTCCTCTCCCTCCGTATCTCCCCCTTAACCCCCACCACGGTCTCACTATGTAGCTCTGGCTAACCTAGACTTTAGTACATAGCCTAGACTGGTCCAGTGCTGACAACAATTATCCTTCTGCTTCAACCTCCCAAGCACCGAGATCACAGCTGTAGCTACCACACCCCATCTGACAGCTTCTTTAGGGTGATGTTTAGGAGCTCATCCCTGTGGGTCATCTTTCAGTATTTCACTCATGTCTACGGTTGAACAATAAAGATGCCCTACTTATCCATTTGTCATCTGATTAGCATTCAAGCTGTTCAGGCCTCTTAGCTACTATGAGGCCTGTTACTAGGCACAGTTCTACGTAAGTCTGTATGGAGATCTATGTTCTCACTTCTTTTGGGTGCATACCTAGAGGGAGACTGCTAGAGCATATGGTAACTATATCCTTGACTGTAGAGGAACTAGCAGATAGCTTTCCAAAGTGTCTGTGCTATTATTCACTCTAAACATGTATAATCTCTACATTCTCAGCAATACTAGATATTACCTGACCACTGACTATAGCTCCCCTAGTGAATATGAAGTAGCATCTAGCTGGAGTTTTGATTTGCATTTTCCTGTTTTACCATCTTCTTGTGTGGCTTGGCCATTGGACTCTTCTGAAGTGTCCATTCAGAGCCTTGGCTCATTTTAAAATGTCTTCAAATGGTTGAATTATGCAAGGACTCTCTGTATAGGCTGAAAGCACACCCCTTCTCAGGTCTATGATTTGTTAATATTTTCCTCTTTCTGTAGTTTGCTTTCTCATGGTGTCCTTTGTTGTTTATTTTCCCCCCTTTTCTCATTTTTTCTTTACTTTTCCCCCATTTCATCACTATATTTACCCTCGTGTATTCCAGAAATTTTCCACATGTCTCTGCCTAAGGCACCATCTGATTAGTGTAATAAAAAGCTGGCCAGCCAATAGGTAGGCGGGAGATAATAGGCAGGACTTCCAGGCAGAGAGAACTCCAAGAAGAAGAAAGATGGGATTTGCCAGTGAGATGCAGGGGAAGCAGGATGTGCAATAAGATGGGGTAACAAGATGTGTGGCAGAACGCACACACACAAAAAATATGGGTTAATTTAAGACATAAGAACTAGTTAAGAAAAAGCCTAAGCTAAGGCCAAATTTTCATAATTAATAAGTTGCTGTGTTATTATTTGGGTGCTAATGATCCAAAGATAGTCAACAAGAAAGCTGGCTTCACCCCATCCTGGAAATATCAGCCCCTATTCCAACTGCCTATCCCAGTACTCTCCCTCCATCTCTCCCACACCTGATCCCTCCTGTTTCCATCCCTACCCGCCCCCATCCACCCATGAGATCTATTCTAATCTAATCTCCCCAGTGAGATCCAGGCATCCCTGCCTTGAGCCCTCTTTGTCACCTAGCCTCTCTGGGTCTGTGGGTTATAGCATGCTTATCCTTTATTTTATAGCTAATATCCAGTTATAAGTGAGTACACACCATGTTTGTCTTTCTAGGTCTGGGATGATTTTCTCTAATTCCATCCAGTTGCCTATAAGTTTCATGATGTCAACATTTTTAACAGTTGAGTAATACTCTATTGTGTAAATATACCACATTTTCTTTATTCATACTTTAGTTGAGGGATATCTAGGTTGTTTCTGGTTTCTGTTTATTATGAATAAAACTACTATGAACATAGTTGAGCAAGTGTCCTTGTGGTAGGATGGAGTTATCCTCCAGTAGTGGGATAACTGAGGTAGACTGATTGCCAGTTTCCTGAGAAACCACCGTTTGTTTTATTCTTTTCAGTTGCTGATGTCACAAAATCACACCAGGTGACTTATCCTCTGAGCTGATTTCTAACCAAGTGAGATACACAATTGTAGCATATTTTAAACCTGCTAGAGAGCTGGTGAGTCTTGTGTCTTGATGGCTGAATGATATTTATCAATAGACTACCGAGATTTCAAGGAGCTTTTTCAAGCATTTCACACTAGATACTGTTGATCTCAAAATCTACAGAATTTCAAAACCTAGAAGTCTCTTTACTGCTATCAGCAATCAGAGAATTTGGTGGCCACTTTACATCCATCCAAGTGGTTCCAGGATTGTCTTAACAGCAATATGGAGAACAGACAGAAGTCCTGATTAAAACAGTGCAGGATGCAAGTTCTTGGCTCAACTTTCATTTTCAGTTATCAGGGTTAGACTAGAGAAATGTAAGATCTACTCACCCCCATCAACAGAGGGAATACAAGGAAAAATATTTCGGCTGTTCAGTTCAGACAGATCTCAGAAGCATCCTTAGTCATCAAAGAAATGTAAATCAAAACCATTTTAAGATTACATCTTGAGTGGGCAGAAGAGTTATCCGTAGGAAAACAAACAGCAACAAATGCTTAGTTTAGTTTCAGTTACTGTTGGTGGAGTAAACTGGCACAGCCACTATGGAAATCAGTGTGGAGGTTTCTCTAGAAAACTAAGCCTGGAGTAGTGGTGTATGCTTTTGATTCCAGCACCTGGGAGACAGACAGGCAGGAGGATCTCTGTGTGTCAGAGGCCAGCCTGGTCCCATAGAGAGGTACAGGCCAACGAAACTACCTAGTGAGATCATTTTTCCAAAAAAAAGAAGAAGAAGAAGAAGAAAGGAAAGAAAGAGAGAGGGAGGGAGGGAAGGGCAGAGGAATGGAGGAATGGAGGGACAGAGGGATGGAGGGACAGAGGGAAGAAGGGAAGAAGGAAGGAAAAAAGGAAGGAAGAAAGAAAGGAAGGAAGGAAGGAAGGAAGGAAGGAAGGAAGGAAGGGAAGGAGAAGACAACTAAAATGAAAACTGTCATGGAGCTCAGCTCTATTATTGGGTATACAAAGAACTAAGTTACACCACACCGATTCTTGCACATCCGTACTCACAATGGTAAGCAAATGGAACCGCTCTAGATGCTCACTGATTGCCGAATGAAGACTACGTGGTATGTACACATGATAGAATGTTATTTAGTAGTAACAGATGAAATAACGACATTTGCAGGAAAATGATGGAAAAGGAAACTATTAAAGTAACCCAGGCCTAGAAAGACAAATGCCACATGTTTCCTCTCATGTGTGGATCCTAGATTTAAACATTCATATGCACACATACCTATGGGGTATGAGTAGGGTCAAGAAACTGAAAGGGGGTTTTAAGAGGGGAAGAGAAGTCTGAAGGGAATGGGGAGTAGGAAAGAGGGTATGAAAATGCATGCAACAAGAAAGCAAAATACAGGGTTCTGTGGGGAAGAAGGGAAGAGGGAGCAGCAGACTGGGCAAAGGAAATGGGGAAGGAGAATAGAAAACAACAAGGTGTGTCTGGAATACCCATCCCTTGGGTATTTGTATGCTAATTTTGAAATGCAAAACAAGGAAGTGTGATACTGCTTGTATCTCTGAGGATTTGATGATGTTTATTCAAAGTGAAGATTAAGGGAATCTACACAGAAAGGCTCCTATGGGATAGTAAGCACTGGTACCTTTATGTTGGGGTGCAGCCGCATCAATGTCCGCTTGCTGTATTCACTGTTGATCCCGAGGGCTAATTCCACCTCTTTGTAAAGCATTATGAAAATCCGAACGCCTTGTTGCTGTCACAAGAAAACAGGAATGAACACCAGGAGGGCTGTGGCTGCCTTCCCTCCTTTCTTCCCCATGCTAGGGCTCCTTTATTCTAGAAACTGGTATCACAACACCTAACAAACAGGTAGTGAAAGGAATGGCATGTATTATTTCAAGACTCAAATAGAAAATATAGAACTTAGGTGGGGTGGCAAATTCCAGCACTGGGAAGATAGAGTCAGGAGTAACAGGAGTTCAAGGCCCGCCTCAGTTACAGAGTGAGTTCAAGGCCAGCCTAGGCTACATATCCCAAAAGAAAACCATCCTCTGTCCCTTCGTACAAGTATTGGCCCACTCATAGATCCAGGATACAGAGACTGACATCTCAGCTCCTGAGGGTATCCAGCAGTCTTAGTGCCTTTCTAGACATCCCCAAGCACTCCACTGTGACCTGAGCCCTTGAAGCAACAGCGAGCACCAAATGTGCCCCCAATGTCTCTGGAAAAATAATGGTTTAAATGGAGAAAACAGCTCTGAATCTTCAAAGATGAATGTGTTCGGTTTTAGCTCACAATTTGATTCATAATGCCTATGCTACTAGCCAAAGGACCTCACTGTAGCAGTAGTTGTGTGATGTGGACACGCAAATTAACGGAATCTGCCCCTAGACTAAGTCAGAAGAACACAAACAGGGCTGTTGGGAGCCATTGCACTGTCAATCTAAGTCAGAAAGAGCCCGGTGAACTCCTCAGGAGATGTACCACCTGAATAACAAGAGTCATGTGTCTTTACAACACTACAACTTCAAATGACATTAAGAGTTCATGCTTTTAGGCAACAGACAATGGGGATAAAGGAATAAAAGACATAAAAATATAGGCAAGAAGGGAACAGGTTGATTTTTGGTGACCTGGCCAGTCAGTGCTCTGTAATTAAACACCAACTGAGGCCTCAAAAGGAAAATTAGATTATTTTTTTCTCTTTTTCTATTTAAATATTTTAAAATTTATCACTGAACTATGGTCTACATTAAAAAAGAAGTCTCTTGAGGGAAAAGTCTAATTTAATCTCAGCACTCAGGAGGCAGAAGCAGGCAGATCTCTGAGTTTGAGACCAGCTTGATCTACAAGAGTTTGTTCCAGAATAGCCTCCAGTGCCACAGAGAACCCCAGTCTTGAAAGAAAAAAAACAACAAAGTTTATAACCCAAAATTTCAACCTAAGTATTATATGCATATACCTGACGTCATTCCTTGTGGTTCATTTATTTCAAATGTGTGAAAGTCTATTTTTGTTTTTAGAGAGTGTTTCTCTAAGTCTTTTGTGTGTATGGGTGTGTGTGGTGGTGTGTAGCACACATGCACTTCCATGTGTTTCCACAGGAGGTGGTGAGTGTGGCGATGTGTGGTACATATGCATTCCCATGCACAGGACCCCATGAGTGTGCTGATGTATGGCACGCGTGCATTTGTCCATATGTGAACAAGGAAAGGCCGTGTACCCCCCCCCCATCACTCTCTCCCTTAGTCCTTTGAGGCAGGTCTCTCCCTGAAACTGGAGCTCATTGTTCATCTAGGCTGGCAAGCCTCAGCACTGGGAGACAGGTCCACACTAAATCCTGCCCAGCTTGTGTCCTGTCGACATTAATCTGAACTCAGGTCCTCATGTTTTTGCAACAAACATCCTTAAACACTGCTCCATCTCTCCACGCCTCCAAATTCTGCCTTTTGAGCTTTAAACATTATTATTCATTAAGCACAGTGTTTGCAAATTAGGTACTTAGTCTAAATCCTACAGTTTCCCACTGGTGGGTCTTTGAGATAAAGATGTTAACTGTAGTAGATTGCACTAATACCTTCCTAATATTACACCTGGTATTTTATTCACTTGAATAAGGTGAATATAAAGGAAATAGCATATAGATTTTGTACCCTCTTATCTTAAATACCAATGACTAACAAGGAAGTAATTATACAAATGTTATCTTTAATAGGACTTGACATATATACTAACACTTATACCTATAATAGGCAGTTAATACCTGGCAGATCCCAACATAATAAAGCAATAATTTCCCTTTTGTGTACCATATCACAGCTCAGGCATAAACTCCGTAAGTGGCAAAGTGTGCACCATTATCACACAGCCATAAACTCCATAATGGCAAAGTGTGTACCATATTATTGTGCAGCCACAAACTCCTGAGACACCAAGTGTGCACCTATCACAATGAAGTCATAAACTGTATAAATGGCAAAGGAAATTCATTCCTTTGCAATAAAGCCATTTGCTCTGTTGTAACAGTGCAGGCTTATGAAACCATGAAAGCTATTTTGATAAATCAAGAGCCAAATCTATAGAAGATAATGCTGTTTGTAATTAAAAAGTAATACTTTGAAGCGGTCTTCCTACATGCAAACAACTATTGTGCAGAGATAGTAAATCAGTAAAACAATGCCATTCATAAAAGCTTAAAAGAAAAAAAATAAAACTACCTCAGAATAAACATAACCAAATGAATGAGAGTCTTCTATAAAAGACATTTCAAACATGAAGAAAATTCATTAAGACAACCTGCTAGAGGTGTAGCCTGCTTGCCTGGGTTCAGTCCCCAACACTGCATAAACCAGGTGTGGTGGTGCCTGAAGCCAGAGGGTTACAAGTTCAAGGTCATCCTTGGCTGTACAGTGAGTTCAATGTCAGCCTGGATATATAACTGTGTGGTATATTAGAAGGACATAGAAAGATCTATGTTCTACGATTGGCAGAATTTATTTTGTGAAAATGACCCCCCAATGCCACCTACAAGTTCAATACCATCATTACAAAAATTCCAATGACATTGTTCATAGAAAAAAGAAAAATCCTAAAGTTTATGAAATTCACAGAAATGTAAAAGCAATGCTGAGCAAAAATCAATGCTGGACATACCATTGTGATACCTGATTTCAAGTTACACTACAGAGCAAGAGTAACAAAAACAGCATGGTACTGGCACAAAAACCAAGACGTATCTCAATGGAATAGAAGGGAGGGCCAAGAATTAAAGTCACTCATTATAGCCACCTGCTTTCTGGCAAAAAGTTAAAAAAAAAAAAAAAAAGTCTTAGCAAAACGACGTCCTCTTCAACAAATGGTCTTGGTAGAACTGGGTTTCAAAGTGTAGAGGAATGAAACCATATCCTGATGTCTCATCCCATACAAAAGTCAGCTTCAGGCCAGGCACAGTGGGGCATGACTTTCACCCCAGCACCCCGGAGGCAGATGAAAGGATCTCTGTGAGTTCGAGGCCAGCCTGGTCTACACAACAAGTTTCAGGCCAGCCAGGACTACATAGTGAGGCCCTTTAGTAGAGAAGAAGGGCACTATTGGTAAGGAAGAAGGTTCTCTGGAGGGACCTCTGTGAGATAACACGTTTCTTATCTTTGCTGAACTTAAGCGAACAAAGTTCTGGAGTGAACTGAAACGGCAGACAAGCATTCGGTTCTCCTTCCTAAGTATCTTGTAGATACGGCAGCACAACATGACAAACACAGGGGCATTTTAGGGGCTTTGAATACACAAAATACACATGAAGACAAGTGAAAAGAATACAATAGAAATCAACAAACCCCATCTCGTAGCCAGCTTCTGATTATTCAAAGTAGTGCAGTCCAAGTATTTCCAAAGCAAAGCCAAGTCTGTCTGCTGTCTGCCTGTCATTATCCTATACACTCTCACCCCAGAGAAACAATTCATTGTTTGCCAAGAACTCCTCTTGGGGTGCAATATGGCAGGTAATGGGAAACAAATGGTGAAAGTTAAAATCCCTGTGTGGTGGTGTTCAGCTGTAATTCCAGCATTTTAGAAGAGTGGGCGGAAGTATCAGGAGTTAGATGTTAGCCTGGGCTCTCTGAGATCTCGTCTCAAAATACTGAGGGCAGAATGTGGGCCTGTGAGATTAAGGCACTTGCCTCCAAGCTGGATGACCTGAATCTGAATTCCACATCTCTTGAATTGTCCTCTGACTTGCCACACATGTGTACAGACACAAATTTAAAATATCACTTAAGAAAAGAAATTTAAAGCAATAGTCATATCCACACTATTTAAAGATAAGGGACACTAGGTTACCACAGCAAAATGCCCATGTATTTTTAACCAGTTTTGTGTAAAATATGGTCCTGTAAGCCATTCCAGTCTCCTATTTAGGATCTCTGGTTTTCTGGGTAGAGGGTTATCGCTTTGTCTCCCTTCTCTAGTGTGGACATCTTTCCCTTTGATGACAACCATCGGTCCAGCAGTCTTGTGGTACAAAAGGAAAAAAAAATCAACTTGATGACAAACTCAATGTTAAAAGCAAGACCCTTTGACTGTTGCCATCTAACTGCTCAGGAAAATCCCTCTGGTGTCAATCTCATATTTCTAAGACTGAAACATGCACGACTGTGGTGCAGAGTTCTGGATACTATAACTGTGGCAACTTATCATGTGCTGTGTGTGTGTGTGTGTGTGTGTGTGTGTGTACATGTGCTGTGTGTGTATGCATATGCTGTGTGTGTATTGCTGTGTGTGTGCATGTGCTACGTGTGTGTGTGCTGCATGTGTGCGTGTGCTGTGTATGTGCATGTGCTGTGTGTACATGTGCTGTGTGTCCATATGCTATGTATGTATATGTGCTGTGTATGTACATGTGCTATGTGTATGCATGTGCCATGTGTACACATGTGCTGTGTGTGTATGTGATGTGTGTGTGTGCATGTGCTGTGTGTGTGTACATATACTGTGTGTGTATGTGATGTGTGTGTGCATGTGCTGTGTGTGTGTGTACATATACTGTGTGTATGCGATGTGTATGTGCATGTGCTGTGTGTATGCATGTGTTTTGTGTGTGTGTGTGTGTGTATGTGTGTGTGTGTTGGTTTTCAAGCTCTAAAGCAGTGGTTCATAAGCTGTGTGTGGAACAACCCTTTCACAGGGGTTACCTAAGACCATTGGAAAACAGATATTTACATTAGGATTCATAACAGTAGCAAAATTACAGTTATGAAGTAGCAATGAAATAGTTTTATGGTTGGGGTCACCATAACATCAGGAACTGTGCTGAAGAGTTGCAGCATTTTAAAGGCTGAGAACCACTGCTCTAAAGTCACAAGTTATAAGTGTATTTGAAAAAACTTATTTTGAGACAGTTTCAAAAGGCCCAGGCTGACCTTGATGTTGCCATACTGCCTCGGCTGGCCTTGAACTCCTAATCCTTCTTCTACTTCCTAAGTGTTGTCATTAAAGGTCACCGCAATTAGTTTCCTATGCTCCTTGGGATAAAATCCAGCCAGCACCTCCTATAGGCTAAGCAGGTACCCCAACTATGACCCAGCCTCGTGTTTACATGTTTACATCTGTGTGAGCCCTGTGGAAACACTCACTGCTTTCCGTTTGAGGATGCAGTCCAGCCTCCAGCGGTTGCCTTCCACCACTGGGCGCTTCAGGAAGATTTCTGGACTTAACCTGAAATCACAAAACCAAAAAGAAAGGGACTGAAACAAAAGATTAAGGTCTCTGTGTCGCGTGTCACCATTGTGACAGGTCTCTGCCCCAAGGCGATAAGCAACCTCACAGAGAAAATTTTGTCCAATCAAAATAATTCAAGACCCATACCTCTAATCTCAACATTTGGGAGGTGGAGGCAGCAGGGTCACAAGTTCAAAGCCACTCTCAATTACATAGCTGGAACACATGAGATCCTGTCTCACACACATGAACACACACACCACATCAGAAAAAAAAAAAAAACAAAAACAAAAAAGGCGGTCCATGTTTGCAGCTGCAGGATGGGTGCTGTGTGGGCAAGATGCTTAGGGGGGTCTAGACATGGCTAAATACTAAGGGGATAACCAAAACCCTGAAATTTCTAGGCCATTTCCCCAACCTCAGGATTGCTCAACTTTGGGTATCTCATTAAAAGAGACAGCACCCTCTTAAAATGGGCATTTAACTCCAGCTAGCTGAATGTCCTCTGACACATTCGTACACACAGTGAGTTATAAAGGCAGTATCTGTGGGTACCTGGGGCTCTCTGATCAGGGACACCAATTTTGATCAGGACATTAAATTCTGTGAAGGCGAAATGTACCCCTGGGCTCTTTTCCCTTAGTAAGTCCGGCTGCGGGTAGCCAAGAAAACCCCCAGAGTCACATTCCCCGCAACCCCTTTACAGGGGTCTAAAGGCAGCTCAAGGCCAGTCTCTATCCAATGTAACTCCTGGGTAATGAATTCTCCCACAAATGGGAGCCTGGTGGAGCAGTTCTCACCGGTCTGTAACTCCAGTTTTAGGGGATCTGACACCCTTACACAGACACACATAAAGGCAAAACACCAGTGCACATAAATTAAAAACAAATACTTTTTAAAAAAAACTGGAGTGCTTACTAAGAAACTTATCAACTTGAACATACAGGACTCCTATAGAGAGAGGTTGGTGAGATGGCTCAGGGAGTAAAAGTTCTAAGCCTAATAACAACCTGAGTTCAATCCCAAGGACCTGTGTGGTAGAAGAGGGCAGACTCCTGCAAGTTGTCCTCTGTCCTCTGTATGGGTGCTCATGTGCATACACATGCATATATACACATAACATGTAATTTTATAAAGATCTCTGTGCAGATCAGTACAAAACACTACTAAAAACCTAAAATGAACTATGCTATACTCGTTAATTGAAGGGCTCGGTGAAGGGCAGAAAAAGGATTTGCAGCGCATGTCAGCAGTTTATTGGTCTGAAGAAAAACCTCGAAATGGATTAGCACAGAGAACCCTCGTTGCAGCTTGGCAAGAAAGAACAGGATTGCCTAAAGAGGCAGCAGCAGAGAGCCCACGAGCAGAGACGATTCCAGTCAGAGCAGAACTGATCCCAAGAGGGTGACAACAGCCCCTTACACTGGCACTGTTTCAGGGTCACATGTCAGAGCTGGGTGAGTCAAAACCCCCATTTCCAGCCAGTGTACTAATTAGGGAAGCTGTGAGGAATTAGGAAACTGTTGGGCGACTGCGTAGAGGGGAGAGCTCAGCCATGCAGTCCGTGATGAAGCTGTCTATGGTCTCATTCACAGGCTGTCCCTGTGAAGATTTAACCACAGAAAAATTCACCTGAGGAGTTGAAGGAATTAACGGATAGATTGTGGCCATGCCACAGATCAACCACCAGGTGGCAGACATTATATAGAGCATACAACAGCAAAGCAAAGACTTTGGAACTAAAACTGGCATTAAAACTCCAACCCTAGAGGATGGAGAGATGGAGGGGCAGTTAAGGCCACTTGTTGCTCTAGCAGAGGACCCAGGTTCAGTTCCCAGCACACACATGATAGTTCACAGCCATCCATAACTTCATGCCAGGAAGTCTGGCACCCTCTTCTGCCTTCTGCCAGCACACGGTACATACACACACATGCCAGCAAACACTCATACACATAAAAATGAAGTAAGTATTTCTAAAAGGAATTGTTAAGCACCCCAAATGCTGCTTGGAATTTTCTGCCCAATTCAAATGAAGCCATGGTCTGCTAAAGAAAACACTCAAAAAAAAAAAAAAAAAAGCCAGTGGCATTTATTTAACAAAAGTTAATTTGTTATTATGTGCCCAGTATTTCTTTTGAATTTCATTCTAGAAAATATGATCTTCTAGTGGTACACATACCTTTAATCGCAGCATGCTGAAGGCAGAGCCAGGGGGATCTCTGTGAGTTTGAGGCCAGCCTGGTCTACAGAGCAAGTTCCAGGATAGCCAGGCTACAGAGAAACCCTGTATCAAAGAAAAAGAGAGAGGGAGGGAGGGAGGGAGAGAGGAAAGTAGGGAGGAAGGAAGGAAGAAAGGAAGGAAGGAGGAAGGAAGAAAACACTGTCCACAAATTTAAGTAAACCTGAAAGTCTTACCTCATCATGTTAAATTTTCTATAATACAATTTAAAAAAAATAATGGGCACACAACAACAAAAGAGTCAACTCGTACTGTTTACATATGTTTAAAAACCATATCTATGTATTTATTTGTGTATGTGAGTTTGTGTGAGTGGGGGCGTGGGGTGTACTGAACATTTGGAGCTCAAAGAACAATTTGTAGGAATCTGAAGGTAGCTCACAGGGGAAATATTTAAAATAGGAAGCTAGCCTTGGAGACTGTGAGATGACATGAAGGTGATCTGAGAACTGGAGGCTTTGGAAGAGGACACATAAGACAATAGATTCAAGAACCTCGGAGTACCAAACAGGATAAACTCCAAATCACCTCGGAGTACCAAACAGGATAAACTCCAAATCATAACCAAACTGATGAAAACCAAACAGTTGAAATTTTTTGAAAGCTCTAAAGAGAAAAATAGCACATTGCTGAAAGTTTCTCCTCAGAAGTACTGGAGACCAGAATGAAAAGCACTGTTTAAGCAGAATGCATAAAGATCCTGACAATAAAGACACCCAGATCCAGAAGGAATTCCCCAGAGCTGCAGAGAAAAAAGAGTAATGGGGGAACAAGTGTTCCCAAAGTACATGAGGCTATGCTCAGTGTTTAAAGGAATGGCTGATTAAATAAATACATAAATAAAACCACGAGGGGCTGCTGCATGCTCTCTGGAAGAATGTATACTGAGGATTTTCCTGACAGGAAGTCACCATGGAGGCATCATTTCAAAATATGTACTGTGATTAGATGCAGGCCCAGGGCTGCTGCAGGAACAAATAGCACCTAATTCACTCTCCTTTAGGAAGTAGAGGAGAAGTCACACAGGTCCCCACTCCTTGGATGTTTAAATGAAAGTCGTGAATTTTACTGTCCAGAACCTTCAAAAGAGGTGCTACTTTCTTGCATGAAAATAAACTCCTTTCTCTCATTCACACCCCTGCTGAAGTTTTAGAGATCATTTTATGAATCTGGTATGGCATTGAGCTTTGGACTTATTTTCATGAGTGCTGAGGCAGTATTCAATATTTGGCAGTGACTAAATTCTATCTGGTTCTCATAATGGAGATCTGATATTGGCGGCTTATTGGTGGAGGTCACAGGTACCAAAGGATAGCCCTAATGACAAAGAATCATCTTTCTCAAAATGTCACCACACAGGGAAAGAGGACCCAGAGCTACAGATTTCCATATAACTGAAGTGAAGCAGAAAATTGCTTCACATTTCTGTTGTTCTCCCCTGTCTCCTAATCTAGGATTAAAAGAAAATAAATCAGGGAGCTATTTTCAAGCTTCATATATGAGTAATATCTGAAAGACGTAAGAAAGAGACAAAAGCAAAATTTCAGTGCCTGAATCCCAGCACTCAGGATGCTGAGGCAGGAGGACTGCTGTGTGTTAAAGGCTAGCTTGGGCCATGCAGTGAATTCCAGTCTATCCAGGCTGCAAAGCAAGACCATATCTCTCAAGGGAGTGTGTGTATGGGGGTAGAATGAATTTATAAAGTCACTTCTGTTTCTATGAGGGAACATATTCCAGGCCATTTTCATCTCCATCTCAGGCAGTGTTAGCGTCTGTGATGGGCTTCAATGTTCTAAGATAACGGGTACCCGGAATTGAAGACAGGCTACAAACACAAAGCCAATACCAACTCCACAGGTTGCATTCCCCAAAACTAATGAGCTTTAGAAGAAATTTCCCATGACTTCGGTACTGTGGGCATCATGACTGCCATGGTGGTTTTCATAACAGGCTAGACAGTTAAAATCTGATGCAAGGCCAGAAGAGCTGCCCAGGCCCAGTCCTTTCAACAGTAATAGCAGGAGCAGCTATTTCAGTGTTGTGTTGAAGGGAAAGTTCAGGAGCTGTTCCCTGGACCGACTGAAGGATGTGGTAGGAGAGGGAAAGATAGCTTTCCTGTCTCCACAGCCACACTTGCACAGTCATGTAGCTGCACAAACATTTGCATCCAAAACCACTCAAGTTAAATACTTTAAGAAGATACTTGCAGTAGTTAATATTGGTTGTCCACTATAACAGAATCTAAATCACCTTGGAAACAAAGCTCCAGGCAGGTCCTTGAGGGAGTTTTTACATTGAGGTAACTGAAGTGGGAAGATTTGTCCTAAATATGGGAGAGCATCATCTATGGGCTGGCATCCCAGACAGAATGAAAAGGAGCATGTGCACAGAACACAGGGTTCATCTCCCTCTGCTTCATGACCACACTCCCAAAGTGACAGCCCTCACACGCCTGCCACCAGGCCTGTCTACCACAACATGACAACTGTACCCTCAAACTGTGAGCCAAGACAAGCCCTTCCTTCTTCACAGCAATTAGAAAAGTGACCAATATAACATTTGAAGGACAATTTTGGAAAAGACTTTCACTGCAGTCTCCTATTTAGTTGGTTGAGGCTTGGCCAAGCCATCGCTTGTTTCCATAGTGTGGAATTCTCCAATGGCACACTTCTAAACAGATGCTTCCAGAGAGCATTCTCCTGAACAAATACTAACCACCAATCAGTGATGAAAATCTCTTCTGCCGCCTCTTCCATTGCATTGGCGATATCTTCAAAGTAACCTTTGGCGTTCACGTACCTGGAAGATACAGGGTTTGTTCCTTGGTTTCTTTTGATGTTTCTTATTTTTATAAAACAAGACAAAAAGTAAACACACCCTAGGCCAAGGCAAAGCATAGACGGCTCTGTCTGTCTGATCTAGATTACCACCATTTTCCTTGGCATAACTGGAAACAAGATTGCAAATATGATCTTGCCTCAGTCTATTATCTGGAAAGGCAGTTTGGAGACAGACCCAAAAGAGGGCAGCATGCCAATCGCTCTCAGAGAGCTGCCTTATCAAATGGGATTTTCAACTGAGTCTAAAAACAGACCAGCTCAAATCCATGGGAGGAAAACATAAAGAGGTGACATTTTGCTCTTCTTTTCTGGACTGGGTTTCAGGTAGCTTAGATGGGCCTTTGACTCATGGGGCCAAACCTGACCATAAACTAATGATCTGCTTGCTCCTACTCCACAGTTGCTGGGATTACAAACCCATACCACCATGCCTGCTTTTGGGGGGGTAGTGGGGATCCAACCAGAGATTCATGCTAAGTAAGTGCTGTCTGACTATGTACCCAGCCCTGAAGTTGATTTTTTTAAAATCAGATTTCTATCTAGGCACAGTGGTGCAGGCTTGCAATCACAGCATGTGGGAGGTGAGGCAGGAGGATCAGGAGTTCAAGGTCATCTTTGGCTACTTTGCAAGTTCAAGGTCCACAGGGGCTTCACTAGATGCTGTCTCACAAAACAAATCAAACTTCAAAATCTAAAGGCAGGGAGTCTCACCACTGAGGATGCTGAAATACCAAAATTGAAAGACTAACCTGTGATCACGGCTTTAAGTGTGATCCTCAGCCCTGCAACGGCCTAGGAAACGGGAGACCTTGGGAGATCCCCAAGTAAATCACTGGTTTAGTGTTCATGCTGATTCAAGGTGAATTTGAACCGTTAGGTTATTAGATGGACTCCTGTGAGCAGAAACACCTCACCATTTAGCTAACGTGTTCTCGTGGACAGCGGCGTAGGAACCAAAGCGATGGTCTTTGAGGAAGTCAGTGCCATGCTTCTGGATGAACTCTTCGATAGCTCCTCCCCACCAGCGAGCATGGCGGTAGCTGTTACATTTTAAAATCAGTGTCCTTTAAAGGAAAGCAAAAGCGGGTGTTAGGGGTTAACTCTGAGTTCTAGCTCTTAAAACAAATCTAAAGATGAAACGTGTCACAGCGAACATGAATTGATATTCCTAGTTACCGAACATTTGAAAAAGCAAGCTCCTAAAACACCTGGGTAGAGTTCCTTACAACACTCACTGGGTCAGAACTGACTTTTCAGGCTTCCTGCTCACTCAAGCATGCAGACATACAGGAAGGGGTTGAAGTCAACCTTGAACTGCACTGGGGAATGAGGAGGGTTTGGAGAAGGTACAGAGTGAGTTCACACTTCTTTTGGAGTTTTTCTAACACAGTTTCCTTTGTACTGACTACCCTGGCTTCTGCTGCCCTTAAGGGAGATCTACTTCTTGGAATCCTGCACAACTATACAAAGCAGCATTCCCGACTCCTCTAGTCCTAATGGGCCGAGGCCAAAGCATAAAAGTCAGTCCCTCCCCATGAGAGCAGACCTGAGAAACCAGCAATGGGAAAAGGACTCCCTTCCTCCCTCCCCCTCTCTATCCCTCCCACTGAATGTGCAGTGAAAGTGGTGAACAGCCATCTTGCAGCAAGGAGGAAACTAGTCTGAGGATGAGGCAGATTCCACAGCTAAGAAAACCTAGGAAATGTGTCCTAATGATGTAGTTTAGCTTGAGAATTAATCACCCAATATGACTAACTAATTTGCTCTGCAATAAGCTAGGTTTTTCTATCACTTGAGTAAGGTATCTTAACTTGTTACATAATTAAAAATATTGAGAATAAATTGTGGTGGATTACAGAAAAAATAAAAATAAAAAACAACTTTATCCCAAGTGTCAGAATGAATTTCTATTACCAAGAATGAAAATAACTTACTAGAACTTAAGTTCAAAGGCCAAGGCACTGGCACTAGCTGCCCTATGCCATGTTGATAAAACAGAACTGAGAAGGCAGAGTTTTACTTTTGCTTGATTGTTTGGGGGTGCCAGAGAGGGGGTATACAACAGTTTTCATGGAAAACAAGGAAGATGCCATATGAACAGATTGTATAATTCATTATTTATAAAGATGAAAAGTGTCCAAACAACTCCTCTGAATACTTCACAGATGGATGCTGGCTTTAGAAAGCTACTGTTCCACAGGAGGGCTGGTGTGATGTGGTAGGGAGGCGAGAGGCATAGGGTGCGAGAGAAGCAACCCCAACAGGTGTAACAATGCAGTCATACAGGAGCAAGAGGGCTCAGGAATTGCCTGGGGTCAACCTACCCTTGGGGAAAACCTGTTCTGGGAAGATGGTTGTGTGGGAGAGATGAGTACCAGGCAGAGACCCAGCGGTGGAGGAAGGGAAACTATTCCAAGCATAGAAATAGAATGAGGGCCAGCCAGATGGCTCAGCAGACAAAAGTGTTGCAGGGCAAGCCTGATGACTTAAATTCCATCCCTGAGACCCATGTAAAGACAGAAGAAATGTAACAAAGTTTCCCTGTGACTTCCACATATATGATATTGCACTCATGCATCCCTATTCACACATACAATACACACACACACATACACACACACACACAAATAAATGGATGAATAAATAATAGAAGGAGCAAGAGGGTGGAGGCAAAACATAAATGTGTGAGAAGGGATCGTAAAGAACTGCCAACACAGAAGACTGTGGGGGGGGCATTTACAAATAGAGAGAGAAATAACCCTAAGTAAATAGAGAAATGGGTCTTGTCAGCTGAAATGACAAGGAGCCTGGAAGGAGACTGAAGAACCCAGGATTTAAACATCCAATGCCTCCTTCTAACCTCTGCAGGCACCAGTATTAATTCACATGCACATAACACACACACACACACACACACACACACACACACAGAGAGAGAGAGAGAGAGAGAGAGAGAGAGAGAGAGAGAGAGAGAGAGAGAGATAAAGAGAGAGAGGCAACGGTAAGTTCTATTACTTCTGAAAGATGATGAACTCCAAGCAGCGATCATAAACATTTAACTCTAATTTACTCCTTTTTCATGGGAGAGAGAAAATGTTGGCCTTAAAGAGAATGGGCAGAAATATGTTTTAAACATTAGAAAGATTTACCTTGAAAGATTATCGATTCGAAGTCCATATTTCGTTTCTGTCTCTTTCCTTCCCACTTTTATTCTGAATTCTTTGTCTACAAGGAGAACGAAGGCGATGGCCCCACTGTCTGGTTTCATATACAACAGGAAAGAGTCTTTTACTATTAACCACCTGGAAGGAGACAACAGGAGGTTTCAGAGCTGAAAAACTGAAGTGAAAGAATCAACTATTATTCAATGTCATGTCTCATGTGGCAAATTTGTGCCTTTTAAAGATCACTATGAAGCAAGAGCTAGAGACGTGGCTCAATGGCACAGTGCTTACCTAGCATGTACGGGGTCTGATTCCCAGCAGGGAGAGTATTTACTACAAAAACAAGTCTGTCGATTGTCCTCTGTGTGTGGATACCAAGCAATTAAAAAGAATTCATTCATTCTTGGAAGAACATCCCAGTGTTGACAGAAAGCACCAATGAGCCCCTTAATGAAGAATGGAACAGGGTGGAGCTTGCTCACACAAACCATCATAAAGGCAACTGAGTCTAGAAAACTTAATAACTACATCCAGTACTTCACACATTCTGCTGTTCATTTGAAAATATTTCTGGCATAAGGATCATTAATGAATGGTGTTCAACAGAAGAGAACTAGCTTTGAAAACTGCTTCATTCAATTCAATACTCAAAAGCTTCATGATGGAGTAGAGTGCAAAGTGGGTGTAGCGTAAATGCAGCTCAAATAGAAAGCAGCTCAAGTAGAAAGCATGCAAATATTTGTTCCCAGAGGAGCTGGTAAGCCCCAGGGAGGTGTAGGTAAAAGCCAGGATCCTTCTTGGGTAAATGGGTAGGTGCTAGAAGGAATAGGGGTTATGGGTACAGGAGGAACATCTTGGTCCTGGATGCAAAGAGCTGGGTAAGAGGAGCCCAACAAGTGGAGTAGGGTCAAGGTCATCCTGCTGAGTAGAGAGACAGCAAAGACACCGAAGTGAAGAAACACTTTGAGTTTGGGGACAAGTGTGTGTGCAGTGACAGCAGGACATGAGTTAAGACCACAGTGAAGGGATGAAAGCTAAAGATCACATGCCCACTCCAAAATAAGTAAATAAATGTAAAAGAAATCTAGAACAGTTCTTTACTAAAGCTACTAGCCACAGTGTACTTCAGTCTCTACTTTATGAATAGAGACAAAACCACATTGACTTCTACATAGTCTTACTGCATTTGGCTTTTCCTGTAGGCTGCCTCTTCCATGATCACCACAAGGAGATGGGGCAGGTAGCCTGCTGCTGTGGACTATTAGGTGAAGATGTGTTACATTTGATTATGCTGTGGAACATGTGCTTAATAATGCAAAGCTGTGTTGCATTCTTTTATGTTGCATTTGTTTAACTCTGTGAAGCTCTGTTACTTTGCCTGTCTAAAACACCCAATTAATCTAACCAACAGCTGAACACCCAGTGTCAAGGTAGGAGAAAGGATAAATAGAAGAAGAGGGAGGAGCAAGAACAGGAGAAAAAGAAGGGAAGAGGACACGGGGGGGGGGGGGGGGGTGTGCTACACAGCAAGCTATAGAGTAAGAAGAAAGGTATATAGTAGAGAAAGGGAAAGCCCAGGGGCAAAAGCTAGACAGGATACTTTAAGTTAGAAGAGCTGGCTAGAAATAAGCCAAGCTAACATCAGGCATTCATAAGAAAGAATAAATCTTCTTGTGATTATTTGGGAGTTGGGTGTCATACCCCACAAAGAGTAAGAAATGAAAACAGCCAACTACAGCCTACAGGAAAAAAAAAAAAAAGTACATATGATACAGTTACTAAAAGGAAAATTACCAAGGTCCAGGCAAACCACAAAGGTTAATGCATCTAGAGGGACAGAACACCAAAATGGAACTGAGCCGAAAGAATGAAAGAGAGAGAGAGAGACAGAGAGAGAGAGAAAGAGAAAGGAAAGGCAGGCTGGCAGGCAGGCAGACAGGCAGGAAGAAAGGAAGGAAGGAAGGAAGGAAGGAAGGAAGGAAGGAAGGAAGGAAGGAAGGAAGGAAGGAAGGAAGATGAGGTCTCATCTCAACACTTGGGAGGCCAAAACAGGGAGAGTGTTATAAGTTCCAATCCAATTCCAGTGCTGGAGTTAAAGGCAAGCACCACCATGGCCAGCCAAAAAGTCTAAAAATTGAAAACTAAGCATTGTGAATAAATGTCGCCTCGAAACACCAGTCAAGCCATATGGAAGATTCCCACACTACCTGTCCTCTGAACGCTATCATCTGTTTATGATGTCTGATACCTGAGATTCATCAGCTATGACTCAGGACATGCAAATACAGCAGTGAGGCTATAGTCTCTACACAAACATGTACCAAATTTAAAACAGCAACATTTCCTTCCAGGAAGAATCATAGTTTTGTTTTCCAAATGAAACATGATTCCTTCCCAGCAACAAAATCTTCCCCTACCATTGTTAGCCCTCCTCCAGGACAGGGCAGAGCTCAGAACTGGATTCTTGGAACCTTTGATGAGGCTCCTGGGGCTGCAGTCAATGCTGCAACCCCGATCCCTTGCCATCACATAGCCTGGGTCTTCCACCCACAACCCCATCACCACTTAAATCCATACCACTTCTGCCATGTCCCCACTTGCACAAGACCTTATTTTCCTCAGAGCCCCATGAGCCCAAGGGCTTGCTTCTACAGTGGCTGGAAGCTTCAGTAAGAATTCATGCATGGACTTATCGTAAATGTCGAATTCTCCTGCTATGTGCACATATTATTTGCATCCAATGTATGATGCTGGAATCATGTTGAGTGTTTTACTTTGGTAAGTGACAGCACACCCACTGCCATTGTTCAGTGTTGACCGATTCCTTCAATCAGTAGTTACTGGCATGCCTGACTCATCCCAACAATGTGGTGCTGACCACTGATGACTCCACAAACTGACTCTTCCAGTCTGGTCTGCTCACAGGCTGCAGAACTCTGGCAGCCCAGAGTCTCCGGGAAGAAAAAGAAGTCACTGGGGTTTAAAGCTTAAGTGTAGAAAGCTGTGTCTGGCACACAGCAGATGCCTTGGGACAAGGGGGAGGAGTGGCCAGCAGAGCCACAGGAGGCTGTGAAAACCACCCTCAGGAGAGGCCACCATTGGAGAAGAGAAGCCCTGGTGTCTGCTAAGCCCTGCAACTTCATCCTCTTCCTGCTTGCATGATGAGCTTGTGTTACCCATGATCCTCCAGAGCTCCCATCACCGTTCTTCTTCCTGCCTTCCTCTGCCACTGCTTCCTCACAATATCTAACAAACCTCTTGTACCTCAGCCTGTGCCCAAGCTTCTGTCCAGCTGAGGGTAAGAAGACAGCTCATGTGGGAATCTCTGGCTTTCCTATACCATTGCTTATATTCTAAGGAACTGCAAGGTCACATTTGAGAGCTGTTCATGCCACTAAACATCTGTAATGCCCCACTTGGGAAGAGGAGGAAGGAGTACCGGGTGTTGTGGGATATTTGTGCAGACCGTGAAGATGTACTGCAGTAATTGTAACAAGAAGCTGAATGGTCAATAGCTAGGCAGGAGGTATAGATGGGACTCCCTGGCAGAAAGAGAACTCTGGGAAGAAGAAATGTGGAGTTGCCAGGCAGACAGAGAGGAAGCAGTTTGGGCAGTGCAAAGATGAGGTAACGTACCATGTACCAAAGCACAGATTAAAAAATACGGGTTAATTTAAGTTATAAGAACTAGTTAGGAACAAGCCTAAGTGAAGGTCAGGCATTCATAATTAAAGTAAGTCTCTGTGTTGTTTGTGACCTGGAAGTCCCAACAAGAAAGTACTGCTACAACCAGGAATTCAAGTTTCACGTAGACATATAACCGCTGGGTTCAGACAGGGCTACAACTCAAAACAAAACAAGCAAGCAAAGCTAGTATATAAACACCTAAATGCTCAGTTTATTCAATCAAATACACAAAACTCCCAAGTCCTACCTTTTTGACCATCGGTAGCAGGCTCTTCCTTGGCCACAGCAATTCAAACCTGGTATCCTGTGTCCCCCGGATCTTTTCATGATCATCCCCTCCCTGAAGGAGATATCACGTTAAGCTGTCAAGTTCACATTTACAGTTCACACTTGCCTTGCTCAGCCTCACAGCCGGGGTATAAGCCATCTCTCATATTACTCCCCACCTCCCCCACTGCCCACTTGCCCACTGCTCTCTATCAGCCTGGGCACACAGCAGAGACTCTTATAAGCACTGTGGCCACATGTAGCCCTTTTGGCTTTTGTGGGCCAGTGAGTTTGTCAGACACAATGTTGGATCTTTGCACCCTGGCTTCTGGATCTTAAGGCTAAATCCTCCCTGCAGTCACTGTGGCTGCAGCTGAGATGGGGTTTGCCCCACCCAGAGTCTAGTACATTTGGCTTCACACACAATCGTATCCATCAAGTCATAAAATTAGACCAAAGCTACTGGCTACGCAAGTGGTGATTTTTTTAGCTGGGTATGGTAGCATGTGCCTATCATCCCAGCATTTGGGTGGTAGAGACAGGAGAATCAGTAGTTCAAGGCCATCCTCATCTACATAAAAGAGTTCTAGGCAAGCCTGGGCTACACGAGAACCCATCTCAAAACAACAAAAATAAAACAAACCTAATGTCTTGATTTTGAAAGATGTGCAATAACAATAACTTAAGGAAAATAATTTTGAAATAGCAAGTAGCATTGATCTTAACCAAAATTGAAGTGTAAGCTTTGGGGCTGGAGCAATGACTCAGTGGGTAAGAACACCCAGTACTCTCTCGGAGGACCAGCACCCACATCTTTGGGTTCACAGTAAGTCCAGAGATCAGACACCCTCCTCTGAGCTCTGTAGAGGCACCTGCACTTGTGTGTACATACCCACACAAACATACACGGACACACAACTAAAATTAGTAAAACAATAATCATTCAAAAGGGTAAGCCCTAATAGTGTGAAGGAAAATTAGCCACGGAGGAAACTCCCTACCTATTTATGCAACATGTATTATGAAGTATTACTTTTAAGTCCTCATTTAAAGGAGTTGTAATAGCTGGCATAAGTGACTGGCAGAAGGTGTCTTATGCATTTGATCCCTCACCGCTGTGAGAGTACTGACTGTGTACTGAGTGTTCCCACTGGTGGGTTAGCTAGCAAGCTGTCAGGGCTCTAGGAAATGAGAGAGCTGCCGCCACTGTTCCCTGCAGGGGCGCTCTGGTCCATATGAGCATCTCACTCTAGTTTGGCAGGAGACGCCCCAAGAAGGCCCAGCTGTCCCATCATTGTCACCAGCTATGGTATCAGGCATTCATACCCACCAGCTTCTTCATATATCTCTGTGTAAAGACCCAACCCTGGAACTTACAGGCCCTTTGGTCCCAAATCATGGATGAAAGACAGCTGGCTTATATCAAGGAACTCTGTCTGAAAAATGAAACCACAAAAAAACACTTTAGAAAGCAAAATGGGGGATGGGGGAGAAGGAAGGGGAGAAGAAGTAAAAGAAGACATTTATGGGCACCTAAGCCATGTATTGGGTCCACCAAATATAATCACTCTACAGACTAGATGGGTCAATAACAGCAGTCGAGCTGCAGAGAAAAGGAAGAAAGTGATGAAAATTCACACGGCCTAGGAGGCCAGAGACTCAGGAGCATCAGGTGCTGCAGAACTTCCCCTGCACCACGAGTCCAGTGTGCTCTTCACACACACCTGGCAGGGGCTCTGCCACTCAACTACATTCCAAGTCTCCGCCCTTAGAGACCGGGTTCCACTAAGTTGTCCAGCTGGACCAGGAGTCACTCAGTGGCCCAGACCTTGAACTGTACCCATCACGTGCTGGAGAATTTGGGCTTGCAGGTCTGAGCTACCAGCCCCACTAGTAAAATTGTTGGGATGGGCAGTAATGACTCTCACTGATATGGTTTGCTGTGGGTTTTCTACATGCTCACAGTGTACTCAGTGGTTCTTCGAGAATTCTCCTAAACACCCTTTGATACTACTCTTTCCCAGCATAAAAAGGAGACTAAGCTTAACACAAGCATAGGTAGAGCTTTTTTTTTTTTTTTTTTTTTTTTTTTTTTGCATCAAAACAATAAAAACAGACAAATATTTTGGTCTCTGTGGGCCCTTGACTTCTTGTTACAAATGCACAGCTTTTCCCCTGTAATGTGAACATAGACTGGGGTTGGGGGAGGGGGACAGGTGTGCACAAGTGGGTGTGGCCATAGCAAATGAGACTTTGTGAATACAAGATACAAATATAAAAAAACAGGTCTCAGCTACTGGAGAGGTTAGACCTGGGGACCAGAAAATTGAAGTCATCCTGAGCTATACAGTGAGTTCAAGGTTAGCACGGACTGCATGAGGCCCTGTGGAAAGAAGGGGGGAGGGAGGGAGGGAAGGAAGGAAGGAAAAATGGTTACAAAAACTATTCTTAACATGTAAAAATAACGTGTTTGTTTGGCACAAAGGTTCTGATCTGCCAATCCATGGTTTAGGGAAACTAACCCACCAAAACCATATAGCAAGGGGTGGTAGAACTGATATCAAGTCAGATCAAAGTCAGAATGTCATTCAACATTCACCTCTGTTTGCATTCTCTCTCTCTCTCTCTCTCTCTCTCTCTCTCTCTCTCTCTGTCTCCCGTGTGTGTGTGTGTGTGTGTGTGTGTGTGTGTGTGTGTGTGTGTGTGTGTGTTATTGTCTTGTTTTGATTTTGAGAATAATCTCAAGCCCCATATCCTCCTGCCTCAGTACTGGAATCATGTATGTACCGCCATACCCAGCTCAACATTTGTCTCTTTCAGGTGAGTTCCCTGCATATGAGAGTGAGGGAGGGCACAGTGCAAACCTAGAGGGAGGCAGTGAAACACGGGGATTTACCCAGGCCAGGGGTTCTCTCGAAAGTGTTTGCAACAACTAGAATTAAACATGGGAGGCTCCCAATGTACAGGTTCCTTTTTAAAGCCCCGTGTACCAGTGATGCTTGGACCGGGGCAGCAATAGCCAGATAGAAAACAAAGACAAACTGGGAATGCAGCTCAGTTGGCAGGGTGCTGCCTTCTCTCCCCAGCTCCTCAGAAACTGATCGAAGCTCGACACACCTGCAATCCCGGTGCTGGGGAGGCACAGGTAGAGAAATCAGAAGTTCAAGGTCATTTCCTGCCACAGAGTGTATGTGAAACAGAAACCCTTAAGAGAAAAGATATTCACCCAGGATGGGGAGGCAGACGGGAGATTACACAAGCAACAGAGTCCAGTGAGAGAATCATCTAGTCACACGGTAGTCATGATCCCTAGAGCAGGGTGCGGCTGGATGGTCAGAGGAAGCAATACCTGGCTTCTAACTGGGATTAACAAAAGGAAACAGCATTTCTCCTTGAAATGTTTATATGTTTAAAAACATCTACTGTCAGCTTTGGGGAAAAAAAAAACTATCTCAGATACATCAGGATTTTGGAGGTTCAATCAAACTCCTGCATGTCTTTTGAAGAAAGTAAACTTTTCGGATTTAAAAGGACTTAAATAATGTCGAATCCCCACTGAATATATTTACACATGGCACTTTTAAAAATAAGGGCTCTGAAAGCCCAGGTCTTTGGTTTTCATTCCGTATATAAAACATTATGACTCAGCTCTGCACAGTTTCTATTTGTCGATCACATCCACACTGTCCTTTTTGAACATCTTGCTTTGTATTATAAGGGAAAGCAATCCTCAGAGGCCCCTTTCATGCCACAAGGAGCAGCATTGAAAAAATGGCCGAACAGTAAGCTAAAAGACAAAGGAAGACAAGAGCTTCCAGAAGGACCACATGCAGGTATAGATGGAGAGAGGCAGGACCAGGTAATCCAAGGATCTCTGCCTCTCTCCTTTACACACCAGCTGACATAGCTATAGCAGACTAAGACACCCAATCTATGGAGAGAAGAAACAGCAGACAAAGCTCATGGTTGTGTGTGCACCGGCCCCCCCCCCCACCCCATGATTCAACCATAGAAAAACAACACACAAACCACTTAATTTGAAAAGGCAGCCTTTCAAACCAGCACAGCTTCTCTCTGCTGCTATGGAAACCATGCCTCTTTATGCCTTACCTATTCCTCAACTCCAGTTAATTTTACTTGCCCTACAAAAGGAGGGAGAAGCAAACTCAGAATTATTGATCTGAGACATATTTATAGTGTTTTATCTAATGTTTCAAGCTAATCCACACCCTGGAGAGAAGTCACCTCAGCAGAGGGTTCATGACTGACCAACAGTCCGGTCTAGACTGCCAAGGGCTGCCAGCAATCCTTTTCTCGGAAACTGGCATTTTGTCCTATGTCCAGATTTTAATCTTAAGGGGAACAATACTGTTACTTATCCCACTTCCTCTAATTCCCTGGGAGAAAAGCATTTTCCAGTTTGCTCCTAAAATGCCCAAATTGTAGATTCTGTCTGACGCCCAATCCCAGAACAATATCAGACCACAAGATTTCCTGCCTGCAGCTTTTTTCCTGGTGTTGCACAGCTCAGTCAGATAACGACTGTGTGTGTCTGTGTGTGTCTGTGTGTGTGTCTCTGTGTGTGTGTGTGTGATTATGTCAGTAGAAGTGCAAATACTCTGACAGTTCTCAAAAACGAGGATGAAAAGAGGGAAATGTTGTCCTTGCTTTAAAGAGTCTACAAATGACTATTATGGCAAGATAGAACCTTGCAGACTAGAGCCAAATTATCTTGGACTATTTAGTGTCCCTTTGAAAACCCGTCATTGTCATCCCCATGTCTGACCTAACTTCCCTGTGACTACCAAAGCTTCACAATGCAAACTTAGCCAACCACCAGCTCCCATAAGTTCAAAGGCGAAGAGGCCCATCAAATATTACCCACAACCATGTCTGGGTTGCCCTGCTTTGTGCTCACCCACCTACTTGTCCCCACTGATGTGACTGAGGATTTTCTTTGTTCTATAACTATTGAGATCTCATGTAACCACTTCCCCAGGGGAAGGTGGGATCTGGGGAAGCTGGAGGCTGTGTTCCCAGTACATGATCAATCATATTTGGCCCCCAAATCATCTGTTACTCTCTTTGAGATGAGCACTACAGTTTTACAGTGTTTGGCCATTTTACAAATTAGTAAGGAGAACTTAATGAGGCACTCTCCCTGAGGGTGAGGGGGAGCTGACATTGAGTCTTCTTAAAAGCTAGGCTACTCTATGGGAGCTAGAAGAAGGAGATAAAGACAAAAGAAGTCTCCATGCTCCTGAGGGGAAACCAACAAAGGCTGGTATAACAGGAAGGGAAGAACTAGTCATGGCCAGCTTCAAATGCCTCTCAGCAAAGTAGACCCCAGCCTTTGAGGGTAAATCTCCTAAACCAACACTGGAACAGCAACCCTTTCTTGGGCCTTTAAAGTCGTTCACCTGAGTCCAAATAAGCCATAGCATGGCAATAGTTCCCAAATCCTTCCGATGAGAACTGCCCAGACTTCTGCTAAAAAATACAGGTTCCAAAGACAGCTGGTTAATTTGGTTGTTTGTAGGTTTGTTTGAAGTGGTGGTTTTATCTTTGTGAGATTAGCCTGGGGTGACCTCAAACTATGTAGCTGAGGATGACATTGAATTTGTGATTCTCTTGCTTCCTTCTAGCTCCCAATGACTGGGATCACAGCATTCAGCACCAGAGCTGGCTTGTGCAGTTCTGGGACTTGAACCGAGAGCAGACATTCTATAAACTGAGCTACACCCTAGCCCTTAGATACAGATCTGCACAGTCCTAGAGTTAAACATGTATCCTATCCAGTCCCTTAACTTATGGCCAGTGGTTTGTCTTAAAGACCTGAACTAAGGGCTGAGGACACAGCTCAGTGGGTAAAGTAGTTATCATGTAAACATGAACCTGACTTCAGATCTCCAGTACCCTTATAAAAACCCTGGGCATGGCAGCTAATACCTGTATCCCAGACCTGGGAGGAGGAAGGTCCACAGCCAGCCAGCCTTGCTAACTGGTGAGTTCCAGGTTCAGTGAGAGATCATGTCTCAAATGTCAGTTGAAAAGAGATAGAGGTGGACATAAGACTTTAACCTATGACCTCTACATGTACATACAAGTGAACCTCTAAACATCCATATATCACACGCCAAAACAAAAGCCTTGAGTTAACTTCAAACAGGCTTGCTCTATAAAGTAGAAGCATGTTACATTGCAAAATAAATAACTTTCAATGTGTCCTTTGTATTTGGGATTTTAAATATTCTGTTATTACAGGAAACACAGACTGTAATCTAATTTTACAAAATGATAGGCTGTCTGTGAATCTAGTCTTGCGACTGGGTGAAATTTAGCATGAACAGAAATGTTAGCAAATTAAGATATATCAATAGCACCCTTGCTTGAGTCATTTAGGGACCATCTGGTCAACCATCAGGAACAAGTGGGAAGGGGACATTCATTAGGTTGGGAGCTACTTTTTCTCCTCCAAAAGTGGTGCTTATAAGGTACCCTGGGGTTTATAAATACAATGTGGCTTCAATTTGGAAAGATTTCTGTGACTGGAAAAGTAATTAAACCAAACATCTTTTAAAAATATACACATCCTTTACTCCACATTACAATCTAAAATGTAATAATACATCTGGAAAGAGAGAAGACTGAAGTCAGCAAGTACTACTCTAAGCCAAAAGAAATGGTGCAGGTCAAGTCACTGGCAGAGGAGCAAGAGAGAGGGAGGGCAGATGCTAGGTCACACGTGCACAGCTCTGAAGTAAAAGGGGCAGCACTCCTGAGCTCAGAGAACACAGCTGGGAACTGCTTTCCTCATTAAAACAGTGGGGGTTTGTTGATAGCACAAGTTCCTAAATCCTAGGTGGAATAGGACCTCCCTCTATGCTTGTCTTGAGAACCAGCAGGTGAGACTCACACTGCTCCAAATGCTCAGACACCGGGGTTACCAAGCCCTGAAAGGCTCCTCAAATCCATACCCCCTCACTGCAGGCCACCGCAGAAGCATCAGAAGTCTCGGTCAGGCCATGTGTGTAAATAGGGACCAACTGGGTGTGTTTGGCCCAGCAGATAGTAGTGGGGAAGCTCTTGCACAAGAAACAGTAGTGCCAGGCCCTTTCCCTTCCTCTCCCCCTCTTTAGTCCCTGTTTTATGAGTCACCATTCTCCAAGGCAGAGGCCAAGGCGCACCTGGGCGGATTCACACATTCTACATGCAATACTTCCGTGTGGCCAACCTCAGTCTGTGCCTCCAGAAAGAAATATTATAATCCAGGCATTTACCTCGTTCAAACCTCAGCAGAGCTGGAAGCTAATCTTTTAAAAAACACTCCACTCCCCATTCAAGGGCCTCTGGGAAGCAAAGCTCTGTTTGCTGACACTGCAAAGCCTAGTTCCTCCTGCTGGCTTACTGTGGGCCTTCCAGGCTCAGCCTCTGTGGCCCCTCTCAGCCCTACCATTCTCTGCCTTTTCTTATATTTTGCAAGAGGTCTTTCTTTCCCTGGTTTTCCCATGCCTCTCACTTTCAGAAGAAAACACCAGTCAGATGGAAGTGAAATTTGGCTCCATCTTATCTGGGTGTATGCAACTCTACTTGACAGTTTGCATTAAAATGTTTTGTTTTGGTTTTGGTCATTCTAAAACCCTGAGGGGAGGAGAGGGCTGATTTAGCATTCCAACTTCATTTGGATCTATTGATACAGACAGACCGAGTTCTACTTAGTATTTTAAACATAACTCTGTCGTCATTGTAAACTGGATGGACAGCCAAAGCAATTTTGTATTTCTTAATTTAGTGCAGCTCAAGAACCCAGCGCACTTATGTTCAAAACTAACTACAGTTTAGGATCCTATAGGTTCCTTTAAGACCACTAAAGGGTACTTACCGTGGCATGGTAGTTTCTGTACATGGGCATCTTTAGTATCTTTGTCAAGTAATCTTCCAATTGCTTCTACAATAGACAAAATATTTTGGAGACAGTTGAACACAATCATGTCTGTAGGAATTTTAAACAATCACAATGATGAGATCAGGTCTCATTTAAATATCTATCAGTCAATTTATTCTACTCTATGGTCAGTCAGTAAGGTGTAACACCTATCATTCGCTTTGGGTGTTAGTTAAAGCTCTTCTTGCTATTAGTGTTTAACTTTCAATATGCTTGGGCCTTTGATTTGTTATTTTCATTATTATTGTGACAAAATGGCCAACAAGAAAGGCTTCAATCTGGCCTACAGTTTGAGAGAATACAGTCCACTGGGGGCCAGAAGAGACTGTGGCAAGAATGGGAGGCTGGCTGGTCTCTCAGCACTCAGTCAGTGGCAGAGCAGGGAATGCTGGAGCTCAGTTCACTCTTTCCTTTGTATTCAGTCCCGAGCCCTAGCCTATGAGTGCTCATGGTTAAGGTCAACCTAATCCAGAGAAGCTTCCTAGGCATGTCCCTCTAGAGGCTCCTCTCCTTGAGACCCTGTCAGGTGGCAGTGCTAACCTTAATGCTAACAAGCCTCTCCGTATGTGATTTTACTCCCCTGTATTAGCAGAACAGGATTGCCCATAAGAGTTATTTTTTTTTAATTTATTTTAAACACAGTTGCTTGTAGAATAGTTTGGTGGTCTCTGTTCTCTGCAGCATACACATTTCAGATTCCATAACTGAACTGATTTTAAAAAATGACAGAATTACTAATATGATAGTAAATCTATCCCCTGCCTTGGTAGCAGTCAGACACTGAAGCAGGGTGGCCAGAAATGCCCTTGTCTTCTTTCTCCTGTTTGTGCTCCATCTTGCTGAGTTCAGACTGTAACCAACCCATCTAAGGAGGAGGAATGTGATTTCACACGTATTCAAATGAGCTCTTAGAAATCAAATAAATGGGTGGAAATGTCTGCTTTTTAGGAGTGGCTCTCAAAACCTACTGGAATATTCTGTCTTCATCTCCCCTCAAGCCCAGGGAGGTCCCATCAGGAAGATAGCTATCCATCATCTAACAAGCACTCTGCCTCCTCCTTAGCTTGGGAGACAAGGAGATGTCTAAGTTCCAGAGAAGCCAAGCTAGCTGTCAGTCAGCCTGGGGCTGTGGGGGAGGAGAGGAGTCAACCACATCCCCCCCCCTCCTAGGTGCTAGGTCCTTACAGTGCTGAGAAAAGATTTCAAAAGTTCTCAAGAGCCAGAGAGAAGGCTCAGCAGGTAAAGGGGTGTTCCACACAAGCCTCTGATCTTGAGAAGCCATGAAGAAGACATGGAAGGAGAAAACTGACTCCACAAGTTGTCTTCTAATCACTACATACACATTCTATGAGGTACATGGGCATACACACACACACACACACACACACACACACACACATACACACACACTAGTAATAAGTACAATAACATTTCCATAAAACAGCAGAACAGAGAGAGACTCACCCTCCTGCCAAAGAACTGCTCCTCCTGGATTGTGTTTTCTGATGAACGGGGCAGACTGGGCATCTCTCGGGGCTCTTCTTTGACATTTTGTCTTCTAAAAGTATGTCTAAAATTCAGACACATGCAAAACGAACAGCTATTTCACTCTTCTTGACTATCTCATATTCCATGTCATGGCTTATTATTTTCATTCCTGTCAATGTTTAAAACATTCTCTTATAGCCCAGGCTGGGCTTCCAACTCACTATGTAGCCAAGACTAGCCTTGAATTCCTGGTCCTCTTGTCCCAAAGCACTGGGGACCACAGGCTTGCACCAATGCATGCAGCTGAGGGGGCTAACTTTTAAAAGAACTATGCAATTGAAAATGTCTATCCCAAATGGAACAGGTAGCCTATGAAAAGGATAAAACACACTTCTGTTCATGCACAGTGGGCTAACGATGTTAGTTCTGCTGTGGTTACCTTTTGGTGGGGATGGGGATTCGGATGAAGGCTTTGTACTTGAGCAGCTCTCTATGAAACTCTTGGAAGTGCTTGAATTTCCTCTTCACTTGCCATGTGAATTCCCCATGTGTTAACTCAATAGTGTACAGATTGATGCTTGGCACCTACCGTGACATACGTTTAAAAAAAAAAATGATCATTAACTTAGATGGGGAAAGTTCTGAAATTTCTCAGCAAAAAAACAAAAACAAAAAAAAAACCCAAAACAAAACAAAACAAAACAAAAAAACAAAAAAACAAAACCACAGCTAATTGCCAAGTAATAGTAAAGTACACTTAAGTTGTTTATTTTGTGTTAGTATTTAGCATTTTAAAAAATATACTATCTTTATTAATTTGTTTAGAATTTTATGCAGTCTATTTTGATCATATTCACCCTGAGACCCTCCCCCTAACTCCTCCCAGATCTACTCCCTACCTTCTACCTCTTCTCTCCTTACTTTCTGTCTCTTTTAAAATAACTCACCCATTTCAATTAGTGCCCATATATGCATGTAAAGGGACCACCCACTGGAGTATGGTGAGTTCACCAGGGGCCATACCCTTAAAGAAAATTAACTCTCGATTTCCCAGTGGCCATTCATTATAGGTGGCATCTCAGTTAGGGATCTAGGACTTGACATTTTCTTTTAAAGCAAACAATGATACAAATATTTTCCCAAATGTTTACGTGATAAATTACATGAAACAAGCTATGGGTCACACAGACAAACCTCTACCAACCCCTTTCCCTCAATGTATAGACTGTACCACACCTGCACACATTTAAACACTGGAAATGAAGGAGATGGTGAGTGAGACCCTGATAAGCACCAATGGCCCTAGTCACACATGGACAGTGAAGACTTGCTACAGATTAAGAGGAGGCAGGAACAAGGGCCTTGGGGCAGGCAGGACCAGCATCTTAGTCCTTTCTGTCCTAAACAAATGGCACATATCATGATAGTACATCTTCTTCTAAAAAAAAAAAAAAAAAAAAAAAAAAAAAAACATTCCAAGGCCCAACCTTGTCTACCCAAACCCCTGCCGGAGGCACTGCCAGGCTTCAAGAACACTGGATAGAGAAAATTATTATAGTTTTGTGTATATCATGCATAATGTGAGTGTGATCTTGTCAGTATCAGTGATAAGTCTTTAAAGTATAAGAACCAAATTACATTTTAAGTTTTAATTACTATGCCTCAGAGATCCATAAAACAAAATTGCCTTCTGATCTGCAAGCCCCTGACCAAGGACAGAAATGCTGGAGGCTATTGTTTATGGGAGATAACAAGCCACAAGTTTTCACTCCCTAAACAAGCTTGTTTGACCCATCTACACCAGATGTGCTTGATCACATGTGGGCAGACTATGTCAGGATGTACCTTTGCCCCTGATTTGATGTAGACAAGAAGTATGCGGGCAGGAAATACATGAGATGTATGCTTGCTTCTGATTTGATGTAGGTAGGAGGTATGCAGGCAGGAAGTACATCAGTATGTATTCTTGCCCCTGATTGGACCTTGTTGGAAATGCAGTGAATTAAGGGTTTGCCTTTTTAAACCTCTGTAAAATGTGCTCAGGGCCATTTTCTGAGAAACCAGAGATGGACAGGTCCAGAAAGTCCACCAACCTGACAATATATTTAATTCAAGCTTACTTCAAATTTGACCTGAAACTGTGGTAGTGGCCTTCTTAACCAATGGGATTAGCAATAGAAAATATAGAAGGTAAGCACCGTTAGATCCAGTGTTCAGATGAGGGCACAGGAACTGAGAGGTTCAGTAATCTGTTCAAGATTTCAAATCAAAGACACAAACTCACCCCAGTAGTCAGGCTCTAGAGTTTGTACGTAAGCTCTATACAGTATGCCTTGCCATTAAAAGATAGCAGGAAAATAAGAGGTAAAGGGCATTAGAGACATGGCTCATCAAGAGATGGGAACCTAACACAAAGAAAAAGCCTAAAGCAGGGCTCAGTAGCACCACCTAGATTCAGAAGCAGTGAATAAAACCAATGTCTATAATCCTAGCACTCAGTAGATACAAGAGTTCAAGGTTGGCATCAGGTACATAGCAACAATGTATTTGAAAGTTAAGGACTGGTGGAGCTACACCAGACTATCTCTGAAAGAGAAGAACAGGAAAGATAGAGGGGGAAGGAAGAAAAAAAAGCCACCAGGGTGGTGTCAATTGGAGTCTGCAGAACAAAATCAGACAGATCACACCTCCAAAACAGCAGGAAGGCACAATCGCCCAGTTGCCCCCAACAGACTGGGAGCACTGGGAGGTGGGAGAGTGGGAGGTGAGGGGGGCAGGGGGTGAGTGAATGAGGGGATAGGGCCAGGGGGCATAGAGGAGTGAGGAGGGTGGGCGGGGCAGTGTTGACTGGCCCTTGACTAAAGGTTATGATTCTGTGTGTGTCTGAAGGCCGAAGCCAGTGGTGGCCTACTTGACTACTATTTAACCTGAGGGACAAAGGTCCCCTACTACTATTAAATCCAAGCAGCAACAAGCAAGCGGCTACCCAGACCCTTTCCTGATCCAGTCTGTTTGTGAGGGTGCAGCTTTGCTCCACAGAGACGGTCTACTCCAAAGCCTTGTCGTGTCAGAGAAAACAGAAAGGGCGTAGTATCAGGCGCTCCAGGGACTGAAGGTGACATGTAGGGGACTGAGGAAACGATCCAGGGGGCTGAAGGATAGAGTCCCCAGAATAAATGAGAGACAGAATTTGCCAACAGAATTCTCTCAGCAGTGCCTCTGGATATAGCATCTACAATCCAATGTCCAGACATTTCTTTTTCTTTAAGAGATAAGTAGCATTCATGGTTTCTTGCTATAGAAGGCTTTGGAAAAGCAAAATTCCTCTTGACTTATACTTGGCCTTCATTTTAGAATGGAATAAAGAAACAAGGAGGAAGGACAGGACCGCTCATAGGTATGGTGGAGGAGAAGGGTTATTGTAGATGGAAGGGAGAGGCTAGATGGAGTGCATCTGGGAGAGTCCAGAGTGAACATGACCCTGCTCCAAGCCACGGGAGGAGAGGGGGAGGGGAGAGCCAGGACAGTGAGCCGCAGACAAAAATGGCTGGACTATATAGAGAAGGGCTTCTGGGGGAAAGGAAGCCCAGGCCTGGGCTGGAGAACTTACAGCTAGGGCACAAGGTATTCCAGTCATACCCTGTACCAGGTAGGGACTGAGGGATGCTGGGGGAACCTGGTGGCCAGGCCCACTTCAATATGTTTAATAGGTACCTCAGTTAGCCTTTGTTTTAGGTCTGAGATCTAACAAATATAACCCAAAAGCCCAAGTAAAAAAGGAATACTGGAGAGAAAGCGGCCTCTTGCCATTTATTAACTAAACACATTTTCTAGAATGGCATTGTTCTTATTTGTTTCTTTTCAGGCATGTGCATATCTGTGTGCCTGTGGGCAAGTCCATATGTCACAGACCTCAAGTGGAGGTCAAAGGACAACTTCCAGTAGGCAGTTCCTGCTCCCTCACCTGGTTTCAGAGATCAATGTAGCTTCTCCGGCTTGGCAGCAAGAGCCTTTACCTATTAAACCACCTCACCTGCTCTTGAATGCTACCCAAAATTAAAAACAAAGAAACACTGTAGCAGCATAGCTATTCATACCTATAATCTCAACCCTGGGGAGGTAGAGGAAGGAGGAGAAAGAGATGACAGCCAGGCTTGGCTCTGTGAGACCCCATCTCCAACAACAAGGATCACTTCATAAGGGAAAAGAAGTAGATAAGAATAAAGAATGTATGCGAGGGAAGCGAAATCCTGAGATGTAAAGAGAACTTAGAAGTTGTTGTGGATATTAGTCTAAGATGTGTTACATTTGTTTATGCTGTGGGACATTTGTTTAGTGATGCATTCTTTTACTTAATTCTGTGAAGTTGCCTTACTTTGCCTGCCTAAGACACCTGATTAGCCTAATAAAGAGCTGAACGGCCAATAGCAGGAGAGAGGGATAGGTGGGGCTGGCAGGCAGAGAGAATAAATAGAAGGAGAAAATAGAGGGACAAGGAACAAGAAGGAGAGGAGGACATCAGCAAGCCACGGAGTAAGGAGTAAAGAAGGATGTGTAGAATAGAGAAAAAAATCCCAGAAGCAAAAGATGGACAGGATAATTCAAATTAAGAAAAGCTGGCACGAAACAAGCCAAGTTAAGGTCAGGCATTCATAAGTAAGAATAAGTCGCTGAATTATTATTTGGGAGCTGGGTGGTGGGCCCTCCAAAGAGCAAAGAGTATATATATATATATTTAAAAAAAAAAAAAAAGAAGCAACTACATGAAGCGAAGTGGTAACTAAAGCTCAGCCAACAGCATCACAGCTGGGAGAAAGGAATCTGGAGTCAGGGATGTTGATTGACACATAGTTGACAAAACCCAAACCCGGATGAACCCAAAGTGCACTGACCCTGGTTGTAGACGTGAAGCGCTCTACTTCGAGCACTTGTGCTTTCACAGGACAGCCGGAGAGGTAGGTCTGGATATTGGGCTCCTTAAATCCTTGAGTGTTGTAAATGGAAGAGAACGGGATGTACTCTGCAAAGGACAGAGGGAACAGGTTATTCCAGTCACAGACAGAAGCAGCTGCACCTTTTCACAGTCTAAGATGGGGCTGTTGAAATGCTCAGTGGGTTAGGCTGCTGCCAGGAAGCCTGATGACCCAAGTTTCACCCAGGAGACCCACATGACTGTTTTGGGAAGGGAGCTGACATAAAAGTGACCCCCACACACCCCTGCTTTATTAGGAGACAGGGCCTCAGGACCAAGGGAGCCAAGGCTGGGCTGTGAGATGGGAGAGCACTAAGGAACACTATATTTTAGCAGAGACAGCATGATGGGGTCTTAAAGAGGAAGAGAGGCTTCCTCTTAAAGTCTGGACAGGAGAGGTACAGCTTAAAGCAAGAGTAGGAGGCAATTGAGGGGCACAGAGTGACAGGGAAGTCCAGAAAAGGGCATGCAGAGTAATCCCAGAGACAAAGGAACAGAAACAACTTCCCAGGGGTCAGTGGAAGTTACACACCTTGTGACTCAGTCTGGGATAGCCTGCACAACAAGGAAATAAGTGAGGTACTGGGCAGAACCAAAAACTAGGGGCTGTGAAGCCATAAGACAGCATGGCCTGACTCTGTCCCAGAGCTGCTGGGAAACATGTGATCTGATCATGTAGACTGTGGGATCTTGTCATTCAGAAAGATCAATGTCTTAAAGAGACAGAGCCATGATCAAACAGAATATCAAAAAAAAAAAAAAAAAAAATCATAGTTAAACTAGTAAGTTTCTGGAAGCCCTCTTTCTAAGAAAGTCTGTCGCTCTATGTTATTTACCTCTGTGCCCTGCAACCAACCCTGAGGAAGTCCTACCAGTCCCTCCTTTGTCTGTCCTTACCTTCCTGAGACTTGGGGTCTCCAGGAGATGCATCATACTCCACCTCCTCTCCCTCAAAGTGGAGTTCCCGCGTGTCCAGGTTATCTATCAGATTGCTCATGTCTACGGCGATTTTCTGCAGTGCCGAAGAGTCCACCCTGGGCTCGCTCTTCAGTGACATGCTGACTGCTCAGAGGTCAGCAGAGGGGCTGAGGAGGAAGAACAGTCTGCACTCAGACCCACTGGAAATCCCCTTCACACAGTTTGACACCAGGCTTAGCTACAGCATGGACAAAGACACCAACTCTAGGTGGGGCCTGCATGTCCCAAACAGCCTTTCTATTGATCCCACTGCACACACTCAAACACTTCCTACCTCGTTAGCTAACATGGAGCAAAGCGATTACAGAGAAGAAAGAAAGGCAACCCCACATGGAACAGACTGCCAGCATCTCATGGCCTTTTATGCACTTAAGTGAGGAGACCGAGTAGAGGGTAACTGGAATGCTTTTTCAGAGATAAAGATATGCCTCCTTGTTTAACAAGTATTTGCAAATAAACAATACAAAACAGCCTGTCATGATGGCCCACACCCTTAATCCCAGTGCTCTAGAGACATAGGCAGGCACATACGAGTTAGTTGAACTCCAGCCTGGGCTACAGAGTGAGTTCCAGAAAAGCCAAGGCTGCATAGTAAGACTGTGCCTCAAAATGAAGGAAGAAAGGAAGGAAGGGAGGGAGGAGGGAGGGAGGAAGGGAGGGAGAGGGAGAGAGGGAAAGAAGAAGGGAGGAAGGGAGGGAGGTGCATGTAGAATACAAGTAAAATAAGTCATCCTTTCCTAAAGAAAATCAAGGGACTTTTATCACCTGATGAGATGGTTGAATGGGCAAAGGACCTTGCCACCCAAGCCTGATGACTTGAGTTGGACCCTAGAAACCACACTGAAAAGACTAGTATTGATGACACCTGAAGTTCTCTGACACTCACTAGCAATATCATTTGACAGCAGGCAATGTCACACACAAGCAATAATGAAAAGAAAATTTTTATGACAGTGTAGCCTTTACACATTTTCTCAGGGGCTGGCTTCCCCAGTGATGTGTATTACCACTAGGAGATATGAGGCCATGACCTTGCATGAGCTGTGGTGTATGTGTTTTAAAAGGAAATGGATTAATATACCTGTTCATAAAGATGCCAGAGGTGTTAGGATTACATTTCTCTACCCTTGTTATGAAAGCTGGTGGGTTCTATTTCATCCTGACACTTCATAACATGAGTCGTTGCACATCGGCACCCAGGGAGAAGACTTAATATAGATTTTATTTTCATCTAAAATGTGGAGGTTTAAGCCCTGAGCACTACTGACAGAGTTGGATGAAAAGTTCGTGCTGCTCAATATAGAAACCATCGCTGACACCGCCAGGCCTAAATTGAGAGGAATCTCACCTGCCTAACTGTTCTGCACATGCTCATTGTCTACTGTAGCTCACAAACATTAACTTAGCATTCACCGTGTATAAGAAGCAACCACAATGATGAAAATATAAAAACAGGAGGCAGTTCAGTGAACAAAATCACTTGCCGTGTACAAATCTTGAGTTCAGCCTCCGGATCTCACAGTGGAGAGTCAGTCATCCTCTGACTTCCACATGTGTACAGTGGCTCACTCATGCACACACACACACACACACACACACACACACACACACACACACTCATGTAAACATATTTACACACACTGATAGATCAAATAAAAATTTTACAAAATGTGATGAGTTAAGGAACACTGTGGTTGGACTTAGGCTTGTTTCTAACTAGCTCTCATGACTTTAATTAACCCATATTTTTATTAATCTATGTCCTACCGTGTGACTTTTACCTCTACCACATTTTGTATATCCCACTCATTCTCTGTCTGACTGGCTTCTCCACCCTTCTTCTTCCTCCCAGCATTCTCTCTGCCCTGAAAATCCTGCCAGCAATCAGCCACTTAGCTTTTAATTAAACCAGTCACAGTGACATAATTTCATACAGTATAAAGGAATATTCCACCAAAGAACACTTGTTGTATGGGTTGGGGAAACAGCTACATAACCCCAAGTTCATCCCAGGCCTCCTCCAAGGTCTTGAACTTCCTGAGAATAGAATGCTCTGAGAAGAGCCATCTGGCCTGATTATGGTTCTATGGAGAGTGTGGGTGTGCCATGTAGGGCCAACATAGGTAGCTCTTAAGATAACACATCTCCAAAAACCTAACACACAGCCTCTATTGCCTCTGTGTCTGGGAGAGATCTTGTTTGGAAATGCAAAGCCAGGTAGAGGAGGGAAGTTCTGGGTTACCCTGCACACGTGATTATACATCGAATTGAGTAACTATACTTCATTCTCTCCCTCTGTATGGAAGTTTAAATTTATACCCTCCTTTTGCCAAATTATTGGGCTATCATTGCCTGTATCTCTTCCTTTCAATCCTCTCTCTCTCTCATTTCTTTTTAATTTTAGGAGATATATAAATTGCCTTGAAAGTGCTGATATTCACACATATCCTGGGGAAAGTCTTTGGAAATGCTAACTGTAATGGCATGAACAGGAAATGAAATTTTCCTACAATTTTGTATTCACAGGTCAAAGCCATTTCAGCCTTAGGGTCTTAGCTTTCTCATTTACAAATTTCACTCCCAGAGTCACTTTAACAATAAAGCCTTAACTATATATACAAGGTTCCATAAAGTTGTTTAATCACCACGATATTTTAAATACCTATCCATCTTTCTATCTCCAGGAATTACTCCAAGTAGCTTTGCATTTAAATAAGAGAGTAGGTGGCAGAATGCCTTCCAGCCAAAATTATCTAAGTAATGTTTGTTCAGCTCCCTTTGGGGAGGTGTTGCCTTGAGCCACAAGTAAAATATTTGTTTCCTTTTCTACTAATTCAACAAAGAGTCACTTGTTAGATGCCAACCATGAGCCAAGATTTGCATTATTTAAAAGACAAGGTAATGAGAAGTAAGAGATAAGGAAAACTGAGTCAGAAATTACATCATATTATTATCATTTGTTAACTTTTAAGGATCTTAGAGGATTTTATTGATTAAATACACTTATGGCTAACTCTCCCAACTTCCTCATCATAGTAAAGGAAAGGTATTCTAAATGACATTCCTTTTGGGTAAAGCACTAGTCTATAATTAAACAAACACATACATATATTTAATATACAGAGTCTACTCTATATGTTGGGGTAAGCAAGGAAAACGTATTGGCTCAAGCTAAAACGAATACCTTCTTTCAGGCCAAGAGAAAAGAAGCACGCTAACACATGGGAAAACATTAACTGAAAGAAAAAGGAGAACAGAAACAGAAAGAGTAAAAGAAAAAACACCACATTATTTAATTTAAAACATCTATGGTATGATAAAAGCAATTTTAGCACAATTGTGTTCTTTAACACTTCAGAATTATGATTGCTTTATGAAATTTAGGTATTTGTCCAAGGGCATTCAACTTTTGTCAGGGTTGCCTCTTACATTTTTAAAGATTTCTTTTTTTAATTCTGTGAATATGTGTATGTCTGTATGTGAATATATGCATGGGAGTGTTGGAGGAGTTCAGAAGGCGGCAGAGGCCCAGAAGCTTGAATAACAGGGGTTGTGAGGTACTCTACGTGGCTGATGGGAATGTAAACATGCTCTGTCTTGTCAGAACACCATGACCATGGCAACTCTTAGATTACAGTTTCAAAAGTTTAGTCCATTATCATCATGACAGGGAGCATGGCTGCACACAGGCAGACATGGTCCTGGAGAAGGAGTTGAAATTTCTACATCCAGATCCACAGGCAGCAGGAGAAAAAAGACACTGGGCCTAGCATGGGCTTTGAAAACTCAGAGCCCACCCCCAATGACACAGTTCTCCCAATAAGACCACACCCCCCAGTCCTTCCCAAGTAGTGCCACTCCATTATGAGTAAGAAGTCAAATGTAAGAGCCTCTGGGGGCCATTTGTATTCAAACCATCACTTGCTCCTAACTGACCATTAAGTGATCTCTTTACAAAGTGGGTTTGACTGGTACTAACATAGTATACACTTGGTTATTGAGCTTCACATGCATTGGTTTTATTTTATGGCTTCAACGACCAGAAATTTAATCTTTTCTATAAAGCCTGTGCCCTATGACAGTAAGAGAGATGTTCTCTAGTTTAAATACCACACCTTGTGGGGATCACCTGAACCCACTGTCCCTACAGTGATGGAAACACGTCAGGACAGCTCTCAGAATTTCCATGATTCCTGACATAGGATCATAAGAAATTTTAGGGGACCCAACAGGTATGTATATTTACACATCAGATTGTGAAGATTTACCCACTAACAGCAGTAAAGAGAAGGCATGATTAGAGCATTGTTGCTTTACTGGACTCCATACCACTTCATGAGTTTTTGCGCCACAATTCTATTGCAGGTGTTAGTGTTCAGAATCAAATGGTGAGGTCATGTTTGTTCCTCTGCTGGTCTTCACCTGGCAGTCATGCGGCATTTCAATTAGAGCCGACTACCTTGGGGGGGAGAGCAGCTGCCATAGCTTCAGCCTGAGTTACCCAGCAGCCCACTCTCTTATCTCTTCTAGTCTAAACTGTGAGTCTTTATCTCACTCTGTACAAAGAAGAGATGATGGCGCAGCAAGAGAAGAGCAGCTGCTGTAATTCTGTTTGCCAGTGTTATCTGGGAAGTAAATACAGTTGTTTTTCTTTCTTTCTTTTATCTGGTTTTGAATACTAGAGTCAAAATTCTTTTGTAGCAACCATTTGATAATTTCACCATTCAGTGAAGGAAGCAGAGAAGTAGGTTTTCTCTTTTTTTAAAAAAAAATGCATTATTGTTGTTGTTGTTTAGAGACAGGGTTCTCTGTGTGTATCCCTAGGTGTCCTGGAACTCACTCTATAGACCAGGCTGGCCTCAGACTCACAGATATCCACCTGCCTCTATCACCAGGGTGCTGAGATTAAAGATGTGTGCCACCACCACCCGGCTTTTCTTTAATTTCCAACAGGACTGGGAAAGAGAATAGGTGTTTTCCTTTTCACACAATAAACACATAAACATATTCTTAGCTAAATAACAATAACACTGCCAGCTGCAGTTATTGATGCTAAAGTAAACATTAACGTTAGTTACCATTTGAGTATGTCCCACGTGCCAGGCAC